ATTTTGGGGTTGGGCCTTGGCTCCTGCTCCATGGGAGGCTGTGGATTCCGTCCATCCTTTACCTGGAGAAGGATACCCATGTCCGCTGCGAGGGCGAACAGACCAGATTTGCATGAGTCTAACCCAAGTACCGAGTATCCCGGAGAAATAGCCCCTCCACTGCCGGCACGCGCTCGACACCATCGGCCCCTACCACTAAGAATAAGACCAAGCGCAACTTATGCAGGAGCTTTGACGCTTCCTGCAACTCCAACGGATCGCCCTTTGGAAGCTTTTTGAGGCAATGACAGGCACCACACCAATCTGGTCAGGCGTAGTCTGTAGTACAATTTGTGAGTTGTTTTCAGTCCGGGCTTGATTGCATGAAAGCTCTCTACTATCCAAGAATGAATCCTGCAGAATCATGCAAATGATCACTGGGCCAACGAGAGGGGCAACAGCGGAGACGACGGCAACCCAAGTCTGTCTGTCATTGACCAGTCCCGCAGGAGTTTTTGACTACCCTCTCAATGACAGTTACCCCTCCTTGTACGAGGTATTCCGTCTCGACAAAGCTGGGCATTGTGTCACTGATAACGCTCGATCCAATCCCGTTGAACACGGGGCATTTCTTACGGTGGATGGCTCAACGTCAGCCTGTGGTTGCGCAACGCCAGAAGGTACACCCAAGATGATCCATGATGTTTCAAAGAAGAAAAAAACCGGGGCTAGTCGGTTCCCTCAGGACGGTTGCCGAAGTCACGATGTACTACTGCCTGGGTGCTTACCATCTCAGTGCAGTCTGTCGCTGGAGTCAGCAGGAAACAAGAGGAGCCCAACAGCCTGTACCAGCCGAGAATCGGGAACCTGGACCTGGGGAAATACCGCTGTCATGGCGAACCCGATACGACCGAGAAAAGTCATGAAAGGAGGTACGACCGATAGCTGGGCGTTGGGAATTCTGTTTGGGCCGGCCACCCTGCAACGCTCGAGTCATGCGCTCAAAAGGGCCATTATTCAGCCAGTGGCTTTTTGCGAGGAATGTGTCGTCTCGGGACTTTTCAGACTGAGCTGCCTTTCCTGGAAAAGTCCATTTTCTCGAACCATCTTGACATCTCCATGGACTCTGGGAAGCTTTCGGAATTGACTTACGTCCAATTGCGAAAGAAGGTCCTTCCGAAGCGAGCCGCGCTACAAGTGCCTGCAGACCAGCGTTCTGGTTTGCACGGGGCACATTGAAAATGTTTCGACCCACACTTGGGCACAACTATCCATTCCCTCGACCCGTATAGTATAGGCCAGTCGAACTACCCTTGCAATCAGAAGCTCCTTGCGGCCTCAAATGACTGACATGCTCCTTTCTAATGACATTGCTCGAGTTAATAGCGGCAATACATTTTCGACCACTTCGAGCACATCGACGAAGACGTGAATATACCAGGTCACTCGACAATAATCAGAGGAGAAAGGAAAACATAGTTCCGCTGTATGCAGGATCCATGTCAGCGTCCGCTACATTATCCAGAAGCGCACATCGAGTGAGTGGAGTGGAACTGTGAAGAGTGCGCAGTCCTTGCGGAGCTTTCTCTGCATGGCCATTCTTGACGAAGTCATGCAGGATTTGTCCTTTACTTCTGTGAGGACGAGTATGCTCTCTTGAAACAACTCATCAGCGGCGCGAACAAGTGAGCCAGGTTTGCAGAGCGTCTGTTGATGGTGGTAAGACGCAGAATACACCAGAGCATACAGCCCATGTTGACCTTCTCGCTAGGACATTGTCATCAGCATTGCCCTGTTTTCAAATATGTAACAAAGATTTGTTCGCCATCGAAGCTACCGAGGCAGACGCTGGGGAAATGGGTCGAGAACAAGGTCGTCTTAGGCCACTAGAGAATGTGTCACCGATATATCGACGGTGCTCGCTCTATATGCTCCGGAGCTTTCCTGAAGTTCTCGGTGCGTATGTCCAAGTCAACCTCGCGACCCTCCAAGCTCTTTCTTTCTCAGTTCGTACCCCCAATCCGCCACACGTGGAAGATAAGGCATGTCTGAAATGTCAGTCTGCAAGTCCAGAAAAGTATATAAATCAGCATTCCGACGCCCTAGGACTCAAGTCACGTTATAGTTTAGATATTCTCCGTACCAGAGGAGGCGGCCCAGCAGCCTTCTTCACAGAGTCTTGGGAGGTTATCACTCTGCGATACTCAAGCCACTGCCAGATGAACGTAAACACTGCTTTCTGTACCACGGGAGATGAAAGCCACCAAAGACGACGTCGTCGAAGGTTGTATTGCCGCTATAATCCCCAATCCTCTTTGTCGGTCGTCATTTGACAAGACGAAATTCATAGATTAGCGTCAGCCTCTCTCCGATTGGGACGAAGACAAGATCAAGTCATACCATATATAGCTAGTTCCAGCCCCTGTAGCTGAAAGGAAGGTGGGAGGAAGGCCCCGTTCGCGAATGGTTCTGTGCTTCCAAATCCTGTTGTTATGCTCAGCCTGGACCAGTCATCGTCCAGAGCGAGGAGTCTCCGTTCAAGAGCGGGTAAAGTGAAATGGGCTTATGGGCTTATGGGCTTCTGGACAGCCAACCCTTCCTTCTTCCTGCTCGGATGGGCTTCCACGAATGGCTTCCGCAGAGGCGGAGCCAGACACAACTCTCACAGGTTGACTTCGACAACTGGTCTAGATGCTTGGAAATACGACTGGGCACACGCAAGGCAGACCCAGGCCAATTGGCAACACACCCATACCATACCACACCACACCATTCAGGCATCAACGTACTAAGGAGGAAACCAACCACCTGTTAAGCCACGGAAACGAAGCCTCGTCGTCCAACTGTTAACTCGCACATAGCAAAAATGCCGCATACAACGTTCAGAAATGGGTGCCTTTGACAGACGGGTGTTCCCCTGGGGCTTGCATGGCTGTCATCCAGTAGGAGGAAATCCTCCGGCTTCGCTCGCAATGCCCGGCGACGTTCCCCATGATCCAGCAGGACCGAGATCTCAAAGGTGCTTGCTCCTTCGAAGTCCAGACTTTCACCGGTGCATCAGCGGCCGAGTGCTGTTGCACTTTGTTGAGACTATCTAGTTCCCACCCGGACAAATCGTTGATACGAAGCACAGGCATGCGACCGTTTCTCGGTCAATCCTTGTCGTGGAAAGTCTGAGAAGTCGAAGACATGTTTTTGGAAATAGGCATCACATGACCCAGTCTCAGTCCAGAGACAGACTTGCTCTCGAGTGCCATGTACCATGGCTACACAGAATGATTGGACTTTGTTGCGGGCGGAAGAGTATCAGAGGGTCTCCGTCAGTAGAGGCGAGAGATCCACATTCCCAAGGTATGTGTCGCCACCCTGACGTGAGAACAGTGTCTCTAGGAGATAGGGAGAAGAAAGAAAACAGGCCACGCTCGCACATTTTTCGAAGCCTTTCTCTATGACAGAGTCGCCTTCCCACTGTGCGCCAGACAAAATATCAATGCTCAATTTGCCGTCAGAGCCCAGAGACAAGTTGACGCAGTCTGCAGCCGCTTTACAATCCATACAGCGTGGAGGGTGTGAATGATGCCTTGGTATAATCTTCAGAAGATACAGAGTCCAGGTATTGAGGTAGGGACATTCTCTAGGTCAGCGTGGGAGCACAGGCAGCCCTGTTTGAACGAGGCTGGGTGGTGATGATGCTCAAAGGTGAGTGGCAGCAAGAAGTCGCACTAGGGTGAGCTGATATCAGCTCTGGTCAGCCTTCTCGGCTCAGCCTTGTCGATCATTAGATTCAGTCTTTTCTTGAAGTGATGAGATCGTCCGACTTCTATCTCCTTTTGCTTTGGCTTGATCGCTTGATCTTGCAGTGGCAATGACAGTGGATCTGGGAGGAACTTGGGCACGATCCTCCCAGGCATCAATGCTTCTCGGAAAGAGCCATTTACTGAGGAGGAGAATGTCGTCATGGAACCGACTCGAGAGAATTATTAGAAGCGTCAGACCTGTGTTGCTGCGTCGCACTCGCGCCTCCACCTCTTCCCTTGTTGGCCTCAGGTTTTTTTTTTCGGTCCGAGCTGGAAACACTTTGTGAAGGTCTTCAAGCGTTGGCCAGCCACACATGATGTGCTGAAAGAGTCGGAGTTGACGTGTCTTGAGGAACAAGATTGACGCCACAGGGTGTCGATGCCACTGGCGAACTGTGAACAGCGGACTGCGGACTGCGCCTCAAACTCTCTCGCAAGCGGTGGCTTAATCGGGTCTAGCGGGCCTAATGTCTGGCAAGTACTCCATAGGTCCTCCATACTTTCAAACCATTGAGACTGCGCCAGTCTCCTCGCAATCTTGATCCCTCTTGTATACACTTTATGCGAGTTCCATTCGCATCACACTTTGAGCCGTCAGCTCTTCATTCTGCTCTGTCTCCCTCAGTGACATTCCCATCAAGGACACCCACAAGCAAAAGAGGAAGAGGAAGAAAAAGAGAAGGAGCAACGGTGACAAAGTTGCAGTGGCTGAGCCAAGTCAACCAAGACTTACTATTACGCGTCGCTACGGTTGCTTCCCGTGTCTTTGTCCACGAGGCATGCGCTGTGTGAACCCTCCTATATGAAGTACCTCTACTTTGCGGATATCGTCTGCCCTTGCAATTCGTCCATTGGTCGTCTGGTCTGTGCGTGCAGACCTCGCCTTCACATCTGAGGTATATCAGTGATTCTTTTCTCAATTCATAACTCTCCGCGGCACTGCGCAACACGTTCGTTGTCACGCCAGAGTGAAGTCTTGCCATTGTGCGGCCCTCGTCCCTCGTCCCTAGTCCTTCCGAAGATCAGCAGGAAGCAAGAAGCTACCGAGCTCCAACGTATTAGGGTCTGAAACCAGCAATCAAGCTCAAGGCAACGTCCTGCTTTTCAAAACACCAGAACCCGCATCTACATTCTCTAGGTAGCAAGAAGCTTCCCCGAACCTCTTTCTTCAACCGAGCGAAACCTCCTCCCCAAGCAAATCAGAAAACCCCCGCCAAAGCCACCATGGGCGACAAATTCGATCCTCCCCAATATCCTCCCCCTGCTCAAACCAACCAAGTAGGCTTCCAGTCCCCTCCACCCCAGATGGCCTACGACCCCAACTACCAGCAACAGTACGACGCCAGCCGCGGCGCGAACCAAGGCTACTATGGAGGCCCGCCGCCGCCGCAGGGTTACTATGGCGGAGGACCTGGCTACGGACCACCACAGGGGTGGAACGGCCAGCAACCGCCGCCAGTGGTGTATGAGAGGGATCGAGGGAGCGGCGGCCCGGGCATTTGTGCAGGGTTATTGGCCGGGTTGGCCTGTTGTTGCTGTTTGGATGCCTTGTTCTGAGCGTCTCTCCAGTGATGTAAGATGGGGAGGCTCGGAGAGAGGGAGAAAGGGAGAGAATTGAGATGAAACACTGGTCTAGAGACGGGAAACGACGTCCAGCTGTTATCTAGGGATTCATTCTTAGGGGGTGGGATATTTTTTTCCCCCCCTTCTTGTGCTTGTATGGATTTTTGCATAGCGTTATGAGCTGGGAACAGCAAAGAAATGTGAACTTCACAATGTGGTCCAAGGACAGACTGTGATGCATTTTTGAACGAATTGAAATGGCCTCAAGAGTGCCACTTCGTTCCCTACTAAGAACTTCGCCTACGTGTCTTGTCCACCTCACATTATAGAGCAACTGTTGGCCTGACTCAAGCCACCACTCTCCGTCGTCGTTCTCGCTGCAGTCCGGGTGATGTCCTCCAAGACTTCCCACATCAGCTCGCCCGTCAACGCACTGCACTCTGCATACCGATCACAGTGCATCTCCTGGGCGGCGCGCAGGCCTTCTTGCGGCATGACACATTCGTAAGACCCATCCTCACGCTTCTCCTCGGTGCGCTCGTCTCGCTTGAGACCCAGCAGCATGACTGGCATGCCCTGCTCCACGTCATGGTAGTGCAAGGACAGCTGCTTGCGCCAGTAATGCTGTGCATTGTGCAGAGACTCGCGGGAAGAAATCGAGAAGGCTATGATGGCAAAGGCCGGTTCAGGCGGGAACGGGTCGATGAAGAGCGGCGACGTCGAGGCGTGGATTCGGAACTTGTACGGACGCCGAAACAAGGTGACGTCGAAGGTCACCGGCCCAACTGGGGCGAACACTCGTGTCCTAGGCGCAGACAGATCGAGCTTGCCGTCGCGGATGTGTTCCAGCTGTCTGTGCGCCCGCTCTGAGCCTTAACATTGGACTGAACTGGACGGAAGAATGAAAAGGGGACGACTTACGACAGGAAGGTGGCTTTGCCCACGCCGGGGCTGCCAAGGAAGAGAATATCAACCTCCGGAACAGGCTGGGCCTCGGGGACTTGCGCTGTCATGGCTGAGCTCGTTGCACCGGACGGCGTCATTCATCCTGGCATCCGCGTCGTGGATCCATGCTATAACGCCGAGGATAGAGATGGACAAGGAGGGAAGACCTGGCAGTTGGAAAAGTTGATATCAGCCTCGGCGGCCAAGGAAGCCTAGACCTATGCCGCTTTAGAAGGCTGTCAACGTCTTCAATTCTCCATCTCTCTGCTTCGTCTCATGCGCTAATTCTCTTCCCGACTCTCTACCTGAAAGACATGCGGAGCTGTCAACTGTTGATAAGCTTCAAATTCTTTGCTGGAAGGTGGGCTTCGGGGGTGATGGCGTAGAGAATGTAGTGAGCTTGCCATGGAGAGGCGGGGCTGGCGAAGTAGATGCTGTCTGACAAAATGAGCCCCTCGTACATACAACCTCGATAAGTAACGAAAAGTAGGAGAGCTTTGTGTCAGACGGCACTCCTATTTGTCGATGCAGCCTGACAGGTGGCATGATACGTCATCATGCTGAAAGCGGCCACTCACCCTACACGAAGTAACTACGCGTCTCCCTGTCCCTTGAATGGTGCAGCCTGTGACTTCTAGACGCAAGAATCCTTCTCATTCATACTTTACTCCAGTTTATGCCAGTCACTCAGCTGTCCCAGCTCAAGCCGGGCCAATTTGTTTCGATCGTCCTCAAAGCGGACCAAAGGACCGGACGACAAGTTCAAGGCACCGTGTCCCAACTTCTCACCCGCCACAATCATCCTCGAGGGATCAAGGTCAAATTGGCCGACGGCCGAGTCGGACGTGTCCAACAGATTCTCACCCAAGCGCAACCTTTGTCGCACGGCAGGATGTCGTCGAATAACCCCTGGGCAAGCGCCGAAAGCCAGGGGAACCCTTACACTTCTCCCACCTCCAACCAACAGAACCAAGGCGCAGCGCAATCCTACTATCAGTCCCGTCCTTCGCAGAACCAGTCACAGCAATATCAGCAATCACAGCAACATTCAGCCACGCCGGCGCAAGGAATCAACCGCTCCGACACCGAACAGCTGTTGGCGCAGCAGAGCGACCGAGCAGAACAAGTCGAGCACATGCAGCAGTACGAAGCGAATGCTCCACAAACAGAGGACGACAGGATCCAAGCGCAGCTCCAGCGAGAGTTCCCGAACATTGACAGCAGTTTAATAGCTGCAATCTACAATGAGAGAAAAGGGCAGGGCGACCTCGGCGAGGTCCGGGAGTTGTTGCAAGAATTGAATACCAATTGATCGAGGAAATGGGACCACACAGATTGAGCGCTGAAGAAATCAGCCGGTCCTGCGTCGCCATGCGTTTACGAACAAGTTGCATCCGATAGCTGCAGAAAATAGCAGACGAGGCGACACGCTGGAGTGGAGTTGTGCTGAGTGCTAGTGCTTGCTCTAGACAGTCTCAAACCTTTCCGGTCTATCCTCAATCACACGTCTCTTGTTCCTTTCCAGAGGCTCGAGAAGCCCATACAACTGAGAGACAAAGGTCCACTGCTTGCACAAGTTCGCCTTCATTGTAGATGAGGCCGCGTTCAATCTAGCGACGAATACCTCTCAATTGCTACCGAGGAAGCACCCTTTGTTAGACAGTGCAGCCTGTCCTCTGAGCGACTTTGGTCTCATTCGTTATGGAGTTGCTTATGGCATTGATTCCACAAGTCTAGTTTGCGCTAACTTTCCAGTCTTCGCCCCATTTGACCGGCTCAGAGCACCCGTTCTGTGTCATTGCAGGTATTCCCCGGCCATCAAGAATCTTTGCAGTTTATAGCATTCGCTGTAGCCATGAAATGCCTTGGGACGCCGCAAGGACGGTTTGCTTGACTATGTGCCTGACGGTGAGCAATTTGTCGGATCTGATGTATCGGCTGGATCGAAGCATAAATCAGACCTTCTCGTGCCGCCAGGAAGATATTTATCGCACAGCCGAGAATGTCTCCCTACCATCGGTCTCTGTGCTTGTCCTATACGGAACGTCTGACAACCGCACGGCCTCGTCAGAAAATGATGTCAGCGACTTCTCCGACGCACACGATATGGCCTTGAACTATATGTCAGTTCAGCGTGTCCAAGATAGTTCGGAGACTGATTGTTTGCCTCCAATCCACAGCAAGGGCAGATGCAAAAGGGTTCATGATGGGTCGGCGATCGATTTCTCACCCGGAGATAGTATGACGTTGACAATCGGCCAATCTCATCTGGCCATTCCTTCGCAGCCTTGCGCAGAGCAACGGTTCAGAGAACTGGGTTGACAGTTGCTTCTCTTCAAAAGCTCACAAAGATCCCGGCTTTCTAACGATGGTTTCAAGTCCGCAGCGCAACCTTCACCCAAGAATTTCACGCACCAAACTCACGCCATGGCGCGATCGTGTTCGTTGCTCAAAAAAAGAGCCACACCGGCCCCCGAAGGCGTTATCGTCGGAGGTGGCTTTGACGAAGAGGAAGGCGAGGAGATGCGCAAGCTCGTCGCGGCCCGCAAAAGACGAGAATGGACAGCCAATGAAGTTCATCAAGGTCCCCTCCGGCACACTTGAGCAGAGCGGGCCCGAGGGTCTGGTTAAGACGATTAGGGACTTGTTGGGCAAAGCATTCAACCGTTGAATGGTGAAACGGGCAGGGGCCACTGCCAATCCAGTTCGAATTCGACATAGAGATGCGCACTCCGAAGGCTATCGTCAGAGTCAGGAATGTTTAACACATGGGATGTCGAGGAAAGCATTGAAAATGGCACAGTACCTCGGTCAATGGAGTTTCGAGAATGTCAGGCGTGTCTCACGCCGTATTTCTTTGTATAACTAAATGCCACAAGCTCGCTGCCACTTGCTACACGTGGAGCACGTTAATACTGTGAAATTATTTGCTCCCCTGCGTTTCCATCCCACACACCGGATGTCCTCGAAACAGGTTACACACCGTATATAGGTATGTCACTGACGGCGCTGTGCAAACGGTCCACCCCTGTTGGCCAAATCGACGGCTCTCTTTGTGGCCTCGTCAAAGTCCTCCTGGGGCAGGCCCAAGATGTCGTTGTGCAGGCCGTACTTGGACTCGTAGTCGCCGTCGCCGTTGGGATAGAAGACACGCGCGTACAGCAATTTGACGAAGCCCATCCTGTCGCCGGCGCGCACCTGCGCCACGCCGCTCTCGTACCGCGCCTTCACGTCCTCGCGCGCGACGGTCCAGTCATGCTCGCTGTCCCCGGTGACCCGCAGCACCGCCGCGAGCATGTCGCGCTGGCTGGCCCGGAACGACGAGATGTACATGACGTTGTTCCGGAACATGGACAGCGTGGGCGTCTTGTCGGCCTCGTCGTCAGGGAGGGTCTTCAGGCTGAGCAGCGCCGCGGCGGCGCGGCCGCACTGCAGCCAGGTGGTCGTGTTGATCTTTGTGTTCCCGTCGTCGTACAGCGTCACGGTCTTGTTGGGGATGTCAAAGCCATACGTTCCCGGCCCAGCCGCCAGCGAGTATTCGTACCAGAAACTGCAAGTGAAGCTGATCCAGGCGCTGACGCCGAGGCTCTCAATGTGCTTGCGTGTCACGGCTTTCTGGTCGCCGATGATGATATCGTGCTGCAGCTCCTTGTTGCGCTGGTCGCTGCTGTACTCGTTGGGCAGGATCCACGGCACACCCGCCGCGGCCGCGGCGTCAATCAGCTTCGTCTCCGCGTCCCTAGGCGCCGTCACCGCCATGGTGATAATCAGTACGTCCTGGCCCCTGAGCGCGTCCACCAGCGATGCTTGGTCCTCGTAGTTGACTTTCTTGACAATCATGCCCTCGGGCACCGTGCTCTTCGAGTCCGTCCGCGTGATGGCCGTGAGCTTGTGTTTGCCCGCTTTCAAGAGTGCCCGCGCCATGTATTCGCCGACCTGGCCTCCTGCCTGTTGTTGCCGTCTGTCAGTAAATGCTCTTGGATCCTATATGATGAGAGAGGGAATAGATGGCATCATTTGCCTCTCTCGCTGTCCGCTTACCCCGACAATTGCAATATTCTCCACATAGTTCTTGTAGCCCTGCGGCTGGTCCTTTGCGTACTGCTGCTGTGCCATGAGAGGAGGCGTTGCGAGGGTTATTTTCAAAACAGTAAGAGCGGTCCTCAATCAAATGTCAAAAATTGTTCGGGTCGCTGATATGTAAGAAAAATAGACAAGTCAGATGATAACGTTGCTGTTGCTGTTGTATGGTCCCTGATATTCACTGTCTGCGATGAATAGTAGGTCAAACTTGCACATCGCAATCGCCGCCAGTGCCTCTATATGTACCATTTTCCAATCCGACGTTGAGCGGCAAGATCTCGCATATGGAGACCTCAATCGTCTCTCCATCCCTTTCTTGCTTGTTTTGCTTGCGGTCGGACCTTATATCTCTATATCCGGCCAACATTTCCAGACTGGGTAATGGGCGAAAACCCGTCGTATAGAAGGGATGCAAATAGGCAATCGAGACGTCATTAAGCCTCTGAATGAGGCATAGCGCCGCTGCCTACTAGGGATACGACGCGTGGTTAGTCGAGATCCACGAAGTCGGAGGAAACAGGAGCCGACTTCTCGGTGACTTTTGCTCTGGCAGTTGACTGGATGAGGTGGGTGAGATGGGTAAAAAGAACAGTCCTCCGTTCAGACCTAGGTGGATACATACCGAGGATCATTAGAGCTCGCCCATATCGCTTTTACTCGGCCGGAAGTTGGAATTGCGATCCGGACGACTCGGGCGAGATTTCGGCGTTTAAAATCATAGCCTGAACGGGTTTGTACCCAGGCACGCTGCGTGCTCGTGCTGGGTGCAAAGTTTGACAAAATCAGGGCGCCCACCCAGCAGTCGCACAACTATCAACGAGTTTTGCGAGTACAGGCGACTCTGGGAAGTGAGCCAAAAGAAGGGTGTATTATAGGGAAATGGCAGGGCTGAATATGTACAAGGCTAAGCCGCCTCAGCTGCCTCCTTAATTTTCCAGGGGATTCAGCCTCGCTGGTCCTTGCTCAAAGAGACATTCACTCTAGGTACGGAGCATTCTCATTCTCGCGCCCAGTCTGGCCCGCTCAGAAGGGCGAGCACGGAACTTTCCATTTCTTGACTTGTGATGTTTTTGATGCCAGATTACGCTGACTCTTTGGGGTTCACCACTACTTTGGCATTGCATAGGTCAGGCCAACGAAAACTTGGGCCCCCCCCCCCTGAACAGCACATTGAGCTACAAAGAGGGTCCAACCTGGCCCCATAGTCATCGGCTATCTTAGCGCCTAGCTATATACGGTAAAAGGACATGGACGTTCTCGTACACCCGACCAATTTACTCCCAAGGTCTTTCACATCCCCACGCAAAGTTGAGGAATTTTGTCAAGTAAAATAGCTTGGGTGCCAGTCTGAACAGCTCAACAACCACGAAAAGTTAGAAGTTGTGATAAATACGCGTGAAAGCCTCTATAAGTTTTCATATAACACCAAATTTTTACGAAACGTTACGCCGAATGTTGAGGTATTCTGTTGTTCAAACCACTCATTTTGGTCGAAAATGGCTGGTGTACGAGAACCTTGTAGACATCTGTTTCAGAGCATTCCTCGTCTTTTCCTGCCAAGGAGAACTGCAGCCAGCCCAGTTTCCCACAGGTCAAGAGTCTTGTGGTCGGCAGCCCTCTCGCCTGGCTGAGAAGGCAGCGGGGCGGTACAAGTCGATGAGGTCGCCTTCTTGATCCCGCTTTGGACGACTGCCTAACCCTGCATAACTCTGTTCCTTCTCACGCGCATCAAAATCATAGTGACAGCCTTGCAAATAGCTGCACAATCCTTCCCGGACATGCTTTCACGATGTCCCAGAGCATCGCCCAGATATGGCAGACCCTATATCGATAATCGGTACCGTTGGTTTGGTCGCCAACATCATCGACGTCGTCGGCAAGACCAACAGTACTATTCGCGAACTTCGAAATGACTGGAAAGAGGCAGACCTCACCTTTCTCAGCCTTACCACCCAGCTTACGGCTCTCCGCGCAGCACTTATAAAAATCAAAGAATGGATGGATAGTGATCTTGGTGATGCGCGCTATCAGTTGGTCATGGATCCGGATGTTTCAATGAGTTGCTGCAGAATGTTAATCGGCAAAATCGACGGACTGCTCTCAGAGCTCCACTAGGCGGCAAACGCAACACTAGACATTTCTAGTAAGGCAAAGCTTGCCTTGGGAGGTAAAAATGTCGACAATATTCAGAAGTTGATTGAGCAACAAACGAGCGCTCTGACTTTACTACTCACAGCATGCAACTGGTAAGTCTTGAATATCGTGCTGATCAGCCGTCTACGATACTCATTACTCCAGCAAAACAATATCCGAGCAGAAAGGATTACTTGAAAAGTCCAGTACTCGGAATGTCCTTCGGCGAATGGAACTTGATTCAGCGTCCTTACTGGTGCACCGCGACTCAGCTTCTCTCATTAGCCAATGGACGGACAATTTATCTAAGCTCTCGGCCATTTTCTCCTTCGATAGAGAGCTTTTTGTTTCCAAGATTTACGAGCGGGCGTTTCGAGGCTCCATAAAGGAATCCCTAAGGCGACAACAAGGCGATACACAAGCTAAAGTACGGTCACAAGCGATCGACCGCGGGCTGGAGCAAGACTCAAGACGGCTGAGACGTGAATGCAAGGTGCTTCTACTTGGTACCAGAGAGAGTGGGAAGAGCGAAATTGTAACGCGGTGGAAGAGTCTCCATCCGAATGGTTATACGGCGCAAGAGCTAGCACTTTGGCGACCTACAGTTTCCCGAAATCTCGTCAGCTCTGCACAACTTCTGATTAGAGCGATGGAGCAATTCAAAATACACCCAGAGCAGGAGGGTAATCGAGCGCACTGCGACTTCTTGTTGGATTACTCTGTCGACCCGGATCCAGACAAGCCTCTCGAAACGAAGGTTGGCGAAGCATTCAGCTCTATATGGCACGACCCATGTATTTCAAGAATTTTCGAACGCTCGGATGAATTCGATATGATGGACTCGGCTCCATAGTCAGTGAACCGACCCAATTATTTTGCTTAACACTAACGGTTCGAAGTTTCTTCACAGAAGCAAAACGAATTGGGTCTCCAGACTACGTCACACGACCAGAAGATCTGTTCAGAGCCCGAGCAAAGAGCTCTGGTATTCACGAGACTCGATTCACGATGGTCAGTTGAGCGTGCATCTGTACGATATTCCCGGGCGATGTGAGCGCAATAAGTGGATTCACTACTTTGAAAACGTCGCGGTCATCGTCTTCGTCGTAGACTTGGCGTGTTACGACCAAGTTTGTCTCGATAAAGGGATGGAGAACAGCATGATGGAGTCTTTGGTGCTCTTTGACTCCATCGCGAACTCCCCCCCCCTTTCGCAGGCACTTCGATCATGCTGCTCCTCAACAGCGTGGACAAATTTAAGAGCAAACTGGGCCAGTCTCCTCTCGGGGCCTACTTTTCGGACTACATCGATGGTAACGACGTGAATAGGGCCGCGAAGTACATTTTCTGGCGCTTCAATCAACTCAACCGCGCCAATCTCAATCTGTCTCCGCATCTTACAATGACCACCGACGAGACGAACATCAGGCTCGTGTTTGCCGCTTTCCAAGAAATTGTACTTCAATCTGCATTGCGCAATTCTGAGATTTTCTAGCAAAGAGGCTGCGTTTCAGTTACTATTCGTCCATTGTATCACTCTGCGATACTGGTTGGCATTCCATCCGTGACACGGGGGGTTCTCTTGCTGTAGGGATCTGTGACAACGATACCACGAGGGACAGGGAGTCTATCATAGTAAGTGTGTTGAGAGAGATTACAGAACGCTGCGAGTGCACAAGATGAGGATGTGGAACAGCAAATGTATTGAAATCTGTTCCTCTACCCAATGGTTGTGACGCTCCGGTTGGTTCTACCTATTGACCATGTCCTATCTCCGAGCCTTTCCTAGCATCCTCTGGTGATTTGTGACCCATATTCGAGAGGTTAGGATTCGCACCACCAGGATATCGGCAGTGGCTAGCATTCCTGGCACTTAGCTACACGGTTGAATGGGTGAGGCTGTACAATCGTATACGAAGCTGACACGGAGGTAGGGCTAGGGACACTAATAGTACGTATATCCTTCTCCGCAACGAGGCAAGCAGCTGAACACTCGAAAGGTAACAGGGCAGGTATTCGGGACAGGATATTCAGGACAGGCTAAGACAGCTTGATTGATATTGATTGATTCAAAACACAGGAGGACTCCGTACTGCCAGGACATAACCCGATACCTCTCTAACAAGCTCTATCCCACTGCCCTAGCCGCTAACCTATCATGCGGAACTCGACAACGCCATGACGTGGCGGCCGAGCCGGTAGTACGTCCAGGTTACACCACCAGGGCCGTTCGCTACCGTTCTGCTCCAAGTAGGCTTGGGCTCCAGATGGAAATACCGATAAATCTTTTTCTCCCTCGCCGTCCTAGGTTTCAATTCCCCATCCCAGAATATGTCCCATTGCGCCCGCGCCTTCTGCGCAAACCATCTTAACTTGTACAACTGCTCGGCTCCAACGGCTCTTAAATCTTCCCAATCGTCGCTGGTAGTCCGTAGAAACTCAGCGTAGAATGTAGGTTGACGTCCTGTGCCTCGTGTCATTCTGTAGTACCCTTCCTTGCGCAAAGGTCGTCTTCTCGTATTAATCACGCAGATGCTTACGGCGAGTTCGGAAGGTAGGTCTTCGTCTTCTGGAGGCTCCTCTGCGCTTGTGATAATGATTTTGACTCGCTTCTCGTGTTCTGTTAAGACTTCTGATAGAAATCCAACCAAGTCTTGGCACTGATCACTGTCGTCAACGTCTGCTTCGCAGCGGTCTATTCGATCAACAATGATTGCAAATGGTGTGGTCAGTCTAGCGACAACAGAGCTGAAAAGACGGCACGCGTCGTGGAAGTTTATGATCTTCCGGAAGACGCGGAGGTTGAATATGTCGGGGGCTTCGATGGTGAGCTCCGGCAGTTGTTCCAGCAGCTGACATATGAGTTGCTTAATCACCATCGTTGGGGTGAATATTTGATCTGCTGGTCGGTCGCACACTGCAGACGCCACTAAAACATCCTGAACTCGAAAAGCTTGAATCATATCCAGCGAAAACTCGGTAACCCAAGTATCGCGATCTTCGGTAGGCCCAAAGATTGCCAGGATAGAGGCCGATTCAAGTTGATACCATTCTTGAAGGTAATCTAACATGCCGTTTACCTCCCAGTGTTCCTTCGGTGAAAGTCGGAATTCACGAGACTGCCACATGATCAATTCCTCCCATTCGGTTTTCGTGTCAGGAAGAATGGCGTTGATCAGACTATCGCTCCAATTTCTTGTCTGTGCACGGTGTATCTCTGCGAAGCGAAATCAGCCATCCTATTGGATCGGAACCGAGTCTGAGCTTACTGGAGTAACCGAGTTGTAGTGTGTCAACCGCTTGAGTCAATGCAGAGATATTTGCCACCATAGAGCGTGACTGGTCAGCAATGGAATCGATCATCCTGGACTGATCTTTCAAAATCTCGTGTGTATCCTTCAACACAGCTAGACTTGCAGACTCGGCGAGATCTTTTAACGTCCGGTATGAATGCTGCACCCTCTGGAGACCCTCTTCGAAGTCATACTTTGGCTTCAATGAAGTTACATCCACAAGCTTGGCTGAAAAGCTTTGTTAACTTGCAGTAATTTTGTGGGCTACTAGCAACTCACATATCCTACCAATAGCACAGTATTCCGTAACGCAAACAATCAGATCCAGGGCGTCGAGATATGTCTTAGCGAGCTGGGCTCTCATTTGATCGGTCGGAAACAGCACATCGTATAAGCCCAGGAACGGTAGCTTTTGCCGAAGACTTTCGAAAACGGCGATGACCTTTTCTTTCTTCTCCTGTTTTGCAACCAAAATCTGCTTCTGTTAGCGAAAAACACCATCACCTGGGATGGTAGCGGAATGACCTTGAATATGATCATCAAGCATCCATAGGGTATCGTGTACTCTGGACTCTGAGGTACCAGCGGGTCAAAAATCTCCGCCAGCTGCTGTGCAAGAGAAGCAAAGGTGTAGGTAGCATCAGAAAGCCATTGCCTCTTCGACTGCTCTAACCTATTGGTCGACTCGCGATATCTCTCTTCAATAAATTGTTCGACGGCGGTCGCATCAAAATGTTTGGCCTCATACCCATCTACCTTGCCAGACAAGAGCAAGGCGTCATCAGGCGGCAGATACTTTGCTAGCCTAGAGTTGGATGCTCGACAGGCGTCAAGAGCCTTTTTGTATATACTAGAGTAATTGAGTTAACTGTGTCCCGGGATATACAGAATACCTTTGGAATGCTAAGGCTCATGCTCACAAATTGTCAGTACCAGGTCGATACCACTCACTGAGCGACTCCTGCGGCTTGCCGCGAGGTCTTGCAGCTGGGGCTACGCGGACGAGATGCGTCTGGCTGAAAGTATTTTGATGATTCTTCAAGGCATCAGGATACGACATGGTTGCACGACAAAAACTGTTGACCCAGCCTTGCCCAGCCCTAAACCATCAGGGGAGGTCAGCCGATCACACGACTGACTCTGCGTCCATCTGGGCACTCTCCACCCACAAATGTCGCCGCCACTAGAGAGATTTCTTCTAAGTTGACAATCAATCGATATTCGGACCCTTTGTACTTGTTACAGCAAAAATTAAATCATCACGGGAGAAAAACCGAACCAGGTCGGCTTGGGGGATGTGTTTTGTACTTTTTATGCGGCATGAATCTAAGTGCGAGCTGGTGAGGTCTCGACATGGCACAGCCACCGCCGACTGACCCTTACTGTAAGTCATGAAAAGGCGTCTTAACTCAATAGCTTCAGGGAGCGTCTCCTCCGCACCCAAAGAGGCGCCTGTGGCTGAAGTCCTCATCAGCCCCGTGTGAGCCTTGAGTCGCCTAGTGCTCGACTGACGTCCCACCGCTGCGGCGAGGCTGCATACATCGCTGTGTTGGCACCTGTCGCAACCCTGGTCCAGCGCCCAAGGCCAGGCACCTATCAAACACAGCCCAGCCATCATAGGGGAAGTTGCGAGCCTCATTACAAACCTTTCAGCTCAATATCAAGGTAATCGGATCCAAGTGGCTGAAGCTGGACAATATTAATCTGTATCGGCCTGTTGGGCAGGTTCATCCTATGTGGCAGTGCTGCTCAGCTGGACTGGCATTGGTGCCAACCATCTGTCATTTCATGCCTATAGATTGGTCCCTACCCCTTCCATAGTTACAATCCTCACGAATTTTCCCTCTTCTATCCGATAGCATTTTTGACAACATTATGGCTTGTGGCATTCCCACCCCAGATGTGTCAGGCCTGTCGAACGGCATCACGCTGGACAACTTTCAACCTGTATGTGCGCAGAAGGATAAGACAGCCTCATGGGCGTCAGGAGATCATCATCGAGCTGACATAGCCTTTTTATCAGCCTATAGAACATGGACCAGATTGCAGTGCCCAGAAACAAACAGTAGCTTCCTTTGCAGAGCGGATAGGTCGACGGAAGGAAGGTTCCAGCGGAGAAATTACCTGGATAAGCCAGAAAAAATGGGAAGAAGAACAACAGAAGGAGAATTTACAACGGTCAATGTTCGCGTTCTGCCTCGATGATTCCGGGAAGAAAAGCGAGATCAAGATTACTTCTCCAGTTCTGGTCGAAGTGATCAAAGAGATCGTCCCTCTCTCCTTTTTCGAATCCACTCCGGACAGTGTCACCTTCCAAGAGCCGTATGCACACCTCTTTCAGTACTCCAAGGACATACACAAGGCATTGGAATCTCGGATTAGCCCCCATTCGGACCAATTTCGAGACTTTCGGACCCTGATATCTTTCCTGGAAAGTCACGTAAGGTATGGTATCATATGGAAATCCCTGGATCGAGACAACCAGGGAGTTGTCAGCTTTGAGAATCTCTGGGCAGTTTTCAGAGTTGGTGAACCCATTGTCGTCCAAGACCGGCTAGAGGAGAAACGCCTCTTCAAATTTACACGTCTTGAAGACAGTATTGGAGACATGGGACACCAAAAAGACTTTTGTGTAGCAGTGGAGGTGCATTTCTGGCATATTGTCTGGAGCCCAGGGAAAAAGCGATTTTGTCAGAAAAGCCAATACTCCAAGATTCCGAGGTTTGCTGGTCACCGAAAAGTAACTTCTCTACCTATTTATCCCTTGCGATATGAGGATCAAGCTACGACGGACCCTTTACTTATGAAACTGCAAGCCCGTGGAAGGAAATGGGCGGATCTCATCTCGAAACCACCGACTTGTTTTGAGTATTCTGGCCACGCTATATCAGAGGACGAGGATGGAAGACTGACTCCGAATCTCACGCATGTAAGTTTTCCCCGTTCCCCGAAGCCCGGTTTCCATCTCATTCATTGAAACATGTAGTTGGAAGGGCGAGTCATCTTGGACCAGAAGGACACCATGTCCATTTCCAGTCTTATCGAAGATATTGAATTTCACAACAGCTCGGGCGAAGTGGATGAGAAGCTCAACGACTCTTGGAACACTTCCCAGGCCTCGAAATTATCCAGCCCAGAGCATTTTCAGCTTTGTCCCCCACAGATCAGCTGCTATCACGTTTCGAGTGGGAAGCGCTACGTCGTGAGCGTTACTAACCTGCAACCAGCGAGATGGTCTGAGACGGCGATAAACCAGCTTATTCTTGATAATGATAAGAAGGATATGCTCACGAGTATCGTGAGTAGTCAGAATAACAATCAGATTAAGAGTGGTGACATCATTGAGAACAAGGGCCGTGGACTAACAATTGTTCTTCACGGTCCCTCGGGGGTTGGAAAGACTCTGACGGCCGAATGCATAGCTGAGCACGCCAAAAGACCCCTTATACCTTTAAGCGTTGGCGACCTTGTTGCAATGGAGGATTCGATTGAGGATCGATTAACGGAGGCTTTCGCGAATGCTAGTCGCCTGGGGGCAATACTTCTGCTTGATGAAGCGGACGTTGTCCTGGAAGCACGCTCTTTCGAAGATGTGCGAAGGAATGGAATTGTCTCGGGTCCGCAACAACCTCATTCATATGTCTTTTCTCAGCGACTGACGCTTCAGATAGTGTTTCTGAGACAACTCGAGTACTACAGCGGGATCCTTGTCCTCACAACCAACCGGATAAATTCTATGGACCCAGCATTTCAATCAAGGATACAAGTTGCAATCGCATACAGCGAACTCAGCACGAAACAAAGAGAAGGCATCTGGGGGAGCTTGCTAAACAGCAACCTGATAGATTCTACCGAAAGCGACAAGGCCATCATAGAAGACCATATACCACAGCTCGCGCAGTATCCACTCAATGGTCGTCAGATACGCAATACCCTGAAGTTGTCCGCCATCATGGCTGCGGCAGATCTCGTCAGTGATCGAAAGGTACAGGTGAAACACATCGAAAAGGCGTTAAGAGATGCCCTGCAGTTTCAGGAATGTTTGGAGGCGGGCAAGAAGGACATGAAAAACAGGAACAGGGTCTGGAAACCGTTTGCTCCATCGCAGAGTCAGAATTATGTATGAGGAATCTGATCCGGTAAGCCTAAGTGAACTCTAAGCTCGCCATCGACGGACACGCAAATGATAACACTCTTCATCCTGGAAATACAGAATCGTGGTTTGATCCCCCTTAGCGGCACCAGCTTGGCTTTACGTCTACACGGATTTATGGAGGTCATTGCAACGGCACGGTATAGAATCAATACAGAGAAACCCCAAAGCTCTACGGATTGCACTATACAATGAAACTGAGCCGAAGAGGAGGGAGAGTTGTAGTCGAGGATATCGATCTATATACCTAGGAGCGACTCGGAGGTGGCTAGGTATCTAATATTACACACATATCTTCTATTATGCTATATTTTGTCCCTATACATATTTAGAACAATATTCTATTTGCCGAAATTCACCTGGAGATCAGAGATTGCCTCCGTCATGATGAAAGGCGAGGCTGAACAAGGCTTTCAAGCCGCACGTGACTCAGGGGCCAACTTGGGGCTAATCAATTTGTGTGGAGTACTGGGTAGGGAACACGGAGTACATATTATCTGCCAGACCTTCCCACTCGCTCGATCCCGAAACACCCGATCCTCCACTCCGTTGGCTGGCGAGCTGATTGTGTCTACCTACAGTACCAGTAGGTACTGGGTAGGCCACACTACCATCAAACATTCTAGGTTAGCTTCTGGGTCATTCGCTCCTTGTCCAAGTTATTTACTCTAACCCTGATTCTACATGACTGGCAGTGAAAACAATTCGAGTCTTGCGTCAGGACTGTATTTCTAGGATCATGCCCTGCTCGCCTGTTATCTAAGACGCATTATTTTCATCCATTGGGCCTGACAAGCATGGTACCATCAGGCCACCAGTCGCATCTTGTCCCTTGCGAATACGAAGGGACCTGGATCTTGAAGCGCAACTGGGGTGAGAATGGGTGATAAGTGATGGGTGATAGGGGCGCCTGCACAAGGCTTCGCTGCTGCCTAGCTTCACGCTATTTACCGTCATAATATGCATAGAAACCCGGCCATGAATTTCCATCCCTCCTGCTCTATTGCAACTTGTCGATCGAGGCAAACCGTTAGCTGCCCCAAGTCCTTGGTTCCTTATGGCTTTCGAATTGAAAACAGCCCATTCTAGGGACGGCACCAAGATTGCATTCTACCAAATCGGCGACGGACCAGGCCTCATAATTCTCCATGGAGCGATCCAGCATAGCCTCAGCCACATGGACCTTGCAAAAGGACTTTCGGAAAGCTTCACTTGTTACCTTCCTGACCGGCGAGGGCGTGGGAGGTCCGGCCCAACCGGAAAGAACTACTCTGTTCAAAAAGAAGTCGAAGATGTTGAAGCTATTCATCTTGTAACTGGTGCAAAATTGATCTTTGGCGTAAGCTCGGGGGCACTGATCACACTAAGAGCGGCGCTGGCAGCTCCTCCATCGCACATACGGCGAATTGCACTGTTTGAACCGCCTTGGTGGCCCGAGTCGGCTCGAGAAGGACAGATGGCATGGGTGCGGAGGTTTGAAGCCGAAATCGATCGCGGCCAAGTTGCGAAAGCTGCCATCACTGGAATGCTTGGGGCGGAGATGGGTCCGGCTATCTTCCGTTCAAAATACTTTCCACAAGCCGTCCTGGTGCTCCTGACGAAGGTGATGATGGCATTAGAGCAAACCGGGGACAAGACAAACAAAGAGATGACTGATAGCGTCTTACCCAGCAGGCAACCGTTGGTCAAGGATCTGGTCCCAACCTTTCGCAACGACATCAACATTGCGATGTCTATGTTCGGAGAAGACAACCTTCAGAAACTGTCGGCGGTTCAAACAGAGACTCTTATCTTAGGCGGAAGTCGGAGTCCGCCGTATCTGAAGCATTCGGTTCTTGAGCTTGAAAAGATCCTTCCTAACTGTGCGCGTGTTGAGTTCGAAGGTCTCGATCACGGCGGGACGTTCAATAAAGCACAACATGGCAGTCCGGACGTGTTCGCGACAGAGCTCCGTCGATTCTTTTCTCAAGGCAACGGCAACGATACATTGAAGGAGGATGCTTCACCCCGGTGAGCAGTCTCCATTCGTGGTTTAACCCCGCGTGCATCAGGAACCTACTTCCACAGAGGAAGGTGCCTAGTTCTGGGGAGTGATGGCTTCTTTCCCACTCTTTGCAGACGATCGTTTAGAGAAGGCGAATTGTGATGGCTTTACGGTGTCTGCTTGTGGAGGGTGAAAGGCCATGGAGATGTCCGTGCAAATGGCTCTGAGGAAGAAAAATACTTGAACGATATAACTCGGGGGCGTCGCTTCTTTGCTCCCTTGTAGCCATATTGATATTCAGGGGTTCATCGGACATCTCGAGAATGTATCTGGTCAATTCCCTTGATTTTGTTGTCTCCTCAAAGGGACACCCACACCACCCCCATCCTCTTCTCACGACTGCCTAGGTAAACTTTCTATTCGTATACGCAGCCAATCACTTCCACGAGACTGGCGTCAATTCTCAAACTCGGTTCGGCACCCCCTCACTACCACAGCCTTCTCCGCAAGTTGAAGATGCGGGCGAAAGGGGAGGAAAAGGCGGAGTAGCACGAGGATCCAAGAGCAATGCATCGCTCAACCTGGGAATTTAAATAGGTCAATTGATACCATTTTGTGTAAGGCTGATTCCCCTGCTACAACAGGGATTAACATCGTCCTCGCCTCACGTACCAAAGAAAATTTAACCTGGGAAGAATGGGCCGGCTCGACGGAAAGAGTATAGTCGTGACAGGTGCGGGAGCTGGATTTGGGCGAGGCGTAAGTAAAGATACAATGCTTTTGGTTGACACTAAAGCGGTGGTGAGCAAGATATGGAAGCCTCGCAACCGGCTTGCTTGACTGCTATGTATATGAGACCCTCGAGTCGTCAAGGACAGAAATGTACACGTCTGTCCTTCAGTGCGTGGAAGTGGTATTACATGGAAGAGAATCCGGCTTCTAACACACGATTTCCCCTCCAGATCGTCCAAAAGCTCACAGCCGAAGGAGCCTCCGTCTTGGCCGTCGACGTCAACAGCGCTGAAAACGACAAAACCGTCGCGTCGTGCTCCTCCAGCCCCGGAAAAGTCCACGCCTTCACTGGCGACATAACGCTCGAGTCCTCATGGCGCTCCATCCTCGCAACAGCCCTCGAAAAATACTCAAACCGTCTAGATGTGGTCGTCAACTGCGCCGGCGTGGTGCATCTCGCGGGTCCGTCGCATGAAATGGCTGAAGACGAGTTCGAGAGGGTGTTTCGCGTGAATGTGAAACCACTGTATTTGAGCACCAAGGTGATTGTGCCTTGGTGGAAGGAGAACAAGCTGCCGGGCTTGTTTATCAACCTAAGCAGTATCAGCGAGCCGCGGCCGAGGCCGAATTTGGTGTGGTATGCTTCGAGTAAGGGAGCAGTCACAGTTGTGAGTTACAGAGAACTCCTTTGTTTCCAGCGCATGGTTATCATGGGATAGCCCCTTCTTCAGCTGACAAGATTCATACAGGCGACGAAAGGTCTTGCGGCAGAGTATGCTGTCGATCAGATCAGGTATAATTGCATTCGACCAGCGGTTGGAGAAACGGCTATGTGAGTTACCCAAGTTCAGCGCGCCTCAACAAAATATCTCATGTTCGACAGGCTCCCTCGAGTACTTGGAGGACAAGACTCACCAGAAGGAAGAAAAAAGGTCCTGGGTACGATTCCGCTTGGTCGGGTGTGTCAGCCAGCCGATGTTGCAAATATGGTGTGTTTTCTGGCATCGGACGAGGCGAACTATATTACAGGTGCGGCATTTGATGTCGACGGCGGCAGAGGCGTTAGCTGAAAGGAACCTGTTCGGTGGAAAGCTGCACAATCGACAGTATATGAATAAGCTTGGTACATGATCGTACATTTTGTTCTTCCAAAACTGATACTTTACAAGCTGATCTCTCCTTTCCACATGGCGTCGTTGAGCCCCAGTTTCTCGACAATGTTTTGCCATCTTGGCCCGCCTCGGTCTTGCCTTCTTAGATAAGCCATCAATTTTTGTCTCTTGTGCACCATCATTCTCAATCGCCGCTTATTGCTTTTGTCCTTCTTGTGCAAGTTGTTCGCAAGGACGTTAATCTTGGCTGTCAGGATTGCAATTTGAACTTCAGGAGACCCAGTATCCGCGCCGATGCGTTTCGGGACAGTGACGGCAATTGCATCGGCGTCTTCACTTTCCTTCCTGACATTCTGCTTGCTCTGAAGCCCTGGCGCAAGATCTTCTTCAGTGTTGTGACGGCCGAACTCCTCAATACATCTTTGAATGTTGATGCGTGTGCGATCCTTGCTGCTAGCGTTTTCCAGCGAGGCAATGGCCAGTAAAGCCTTCGAGGCATTTCCGTAGGAGGCTGCATGCTCTTTGATTTTTTCCGCAAGCCGCGCTTCAGCCCCCACAATAGGATTGGTTTCGGGAAGAGGTTCGGTAAGCCACTTGGAGTATTCTAGAGACTTCTGCACGTCGTCTGCTTTGAGGAAGTAGTTGAGGTACGACTCTTTCATCGTCGAGATGGGAGCATTTGCTTGCAAGGAATTGACAAACGGAGTCGGTCGTGATCGGACAGGGTCACCAAGGGAGAGTTCCCGTTCTGCTTGCAACACTTTTTGTCGTGCTAAATTCGCTGATTTGCGCTGCCGGGCTTGCGCCAGGCGATAAGGGTCGACATGCTTCCTAACCTTTCGCTTCCTTGTCCGCTTCGCTTCCAAAGGAGCTGTGGTCGAGAAGAGGCATGCAGAGCACTTTGTGAGTGCTTGACTTCGTGTCGTAGCGGGCAAGCTCTGAAGGAGGCTGGTCACTGCAAAACTGATCAGTAAAGAAGTCGAGGAAGATTATGCTTGGCTTACAGTTGAAGATACTGCTCACAGCAGTAGTAGGAATCCGTGGTGGCATAGTGAGAGCAGTTGCATTGATGAAACTTGAACGCAGTCTGGTCTACACGCTCTTCTTCTCTCTGCGTGTATCACAAGAACTTTCCCCGAGTCTCGATTGAGATTGAGTATCAAAGCCGGTCGAAAGTATTTCCGACCCGGAGCGAGCTCGGCACTGGATCTGGGAAGTGGTCCGAAGAGAAATCTTGGCATGGATTAGCTAAACGCACAATCAAGGATCTCATTGCTCGATCTTTTTACCCAGGAACTTGAGCCTCGTCGTTGAACTTCATCTATCAACCCTTGCATTATTATTCTCTTCTTCTTCTTCCTCCAGCACTCGCCTTTTTGACTGATAAAAGAACTCAGTCGCAATCATGGCGAGCCCAGCAAACCTCCCTCCTATCTTCAACCCCACCTCCCAGGACGTTGAAATGCTCCTTGCAGCACAATGTCACTTGGGATCCAAGAACCTCCAGGTTCACATGGAGCCCTACCTGTGGAAAACTCGTCCTGATGGCATTAATGTCATCAACATCTCGAAAACTTGGTATGAATCATATCTGCACTGCTGTCCTAAGCTTCTCACGCAGCTGCGACTTTGGTCGTGCAAAATTGCGCCCACTCGAATATCAATTGACCCCGGTTTCTCATAGGGAGAAAATCGTCTTCGCAGCCCGCATCATTGCTGCCGTCGACAACCCAGCCGACATCTGTGTCATCTCAGCCCGCCCCTATGGTCAGCGCGCAGTCCTCAAGTTCGCCGCCCACACCGGCGCTGTTGCCATCGCCGGTCGCTTTACTCCTGGTAACTTCACCAACTACATCACCCGCTCGTTCAAGGAGCCCCGCCTGATCATCGTGACCGACCCGCGCACCGATGCCCAAGCCATTAAGGAAGCCTCCTATGTCAACATCCCCGTCATTGCCCTCTGCGATACCGATTCGCCCACCGAATTCGTCGATGTCGCTATCCCCACCAACAACAAGGGCCGTCACGCTATCGGCTTGATCTGGTGGATGTTGGCTCGTGAGGTGCTCCGTCTTCGTGGCACACTGGCCAACCGTGAAGTCGAGTGGGATGTAGTTGTCGATCTGTACTTCTACCGTGATCCTGAAGCCGAGGAACAGAAGGAGGAGGAGAAAGTACCGGGTGCGGAGGAGGCTGGTCCCAGTGCTGTCGAGCGTGGATTCACAGACACTGCAGATTGGACTGGAGAGCCTAGCGCTGCGCCTGGAATCGAGGGTGCGCCTCAGGCTGATGCCAACTGGAACGAACCAGCCACTGGCACTGGTGATTGGGCACAGGAGGCTGCTGGCGGCGCCAGCGGCTGGTAAAAAACTTTTGCTGAGTAAACACGAGCTGGGGAAGACTTGCGTGACAGCAGTTGTGTCTGCGACTCTGGCCAAAAGATCTCCTACGCAGCATCACACCCAACAAACATCCTACCCAAAAGTCAGACACACAGACATGGCCAAGATTTCCGAACCACAACAAAATACTAAAAGCCGCACCCACCTCGCAAGCAAGGCCGAAAGTCAATGGCACTCATGAGGGAAAGATACTCGACCTGAGGATCACTCATTCTTCCTCGGTGGAGAGGGAAAGCCCTGTGCTGGAGACGACGGGATGTACTTGATCGTTGCCCAGTCTTGTTTGTTGGGGGAATGTGGCTATGCGAACGTGAGGCCGGTCCAAAGCACCTACGAGGCCTTCGGTTAAAATAGCTCAATCGAATCGAGGTTGAGAGAAAACGTTCCAAGTTCATTCTTTCCTAAGAGACTCCACAGTTGCATATTGATGTCTCCAGTTTTTCTTTTTGTTGCCCGTTTTTTTGGATCTATTGTCTGACTCTTAACTACAATCCACTAACATGTCCTGCAATTCCATTTGCTTGTTTCCTGCCCATATACTCAGTTTTAAGGAAACACGTCTGTCCGGCATCGGAGATACAACAGGTAACAGCGGGAATTCTTCTCAACCGGTGCCCTACATGCGAGTACAATCCGCTTCCCAAAGACTCGAAGTTGTGAAGGAAATCAAAAACTTCCGTTGATCGCAAAACCACATCACCAAAGTCTCACATTAGCAGCCGCAACAGAATCGACCTGCACGCAGAATTTCCTCCCCTTCCTCCAACCTTAGAACAGAACGATGTTCGTTGGCTTTTCCAATATCCAAGCCACTTCGCCCGTCGCACGTCGCACATTCCGCATCTGTCGATTTGAATTGTGTCGTTTAGCAGATCCAGAAAACCTCTGCCCTTACCATACAAGCCCGTCAAATAGTTCTGGGTGGTTTAGACGATAAATCAACGTGGTCAATGAGGATGATGGTATGTCGAGTTTGGTCGATGGGTGTGTTTGATTGGTCTCTCTTCGGCAGAGATGAGTTGCGATGATTCGGATTTTGAAGTCGACGAATGAGTACTGAGAGGTTTATACATACTTCCTCTTTAATTGCGATGGCCGGCAGTAGCAAACTGTGCAGGGTTCTTGCATTCCGATCGAGTGCAGGCTCGTGACTGTGGTTTGCCTCTGTCCAAGCGTCGCCCGCAATGACACCGCCCATTCGAACATGCTCGACAAATGCACCCGGTTTCATGTACTGCAGGCGGCTCTGGTGCTGGATGCTCGTGCTTGTGAGACTCTCGATGCATTATGTTAGGAAAATAGTTACAGGCCGCGAGAAGATGAGTCGATTCCAATGGATGATGCTCGAGAAACGAAAGGCTAGTTCAATGAAGACAGAGAGATTGGTGCTGTAGGATAGTTCAAGGGATCCAGCTTTGATATTTGAGGAGGATTGGGGAGGCGAGAGCTGCTTGTGGAAGAGAGATGGAATATCAAGGGCTCCTGGGTGGTTTGAATACTTGTACACTTACTCTCGTCCATCACGTTCAGTCCCCTGGGGCTTCAGAGGGCAATTAACCAGGCAGTGACTCTGAGGCACCCAGAATTCCCTCATGGCCCATCTTCATTGCAACTGGTGTGTCCTGGGGCACAAAGAACGGAATGGTGCGTTATTGTCGACGATGAAACGCGGAGCTATCCAACCTTGCTCGATCCAACAGATGTTGCCGAAGTCAGAATCACGGAAGTTATTCGGTCACAAGAAATTTCATTATAGGAGATATGGACAATAAATTCTTTGCTCCAGATGTCTCAAGTTGCCGAGACCTTGCGCCGAGAATGAGTTGATGGAATGGATTGGAGGCAGCTCGCGACCGAGGCTTGACGCAGACCAGCGATTTAATAGCTCTTCTCCAATAGAGAAAATCTCTGGCTAAGGGTTCGTATATGGGAGGACTCTCTGAACTCGGGATGCTAGTGATGCTTCAACGGCGGCTATCATGGCCTGATGAAGGGGGGTTGTGCAATCCCAAGGCCTATGGACTAGTCGGCAACATTCTGAAATGTGGCATCCGCTGACAATGCAACAAAAGACCGTCTCGTTTCAAAGCTTCTATTGGATGGCTGGTTCAGATCTAGACAGGATGAACACCTCCAAGCTGGGATAGATCTTGGAGCGAACTGTAGCGACAAACAAGTGAAAGTGAACGTGTTTACTTGTAGAAATTGGACTGCAACAGTGGGAAAGTTTTCCGATCCCAGCCTTCCCCATATACGTCACGTGAGCTCCAAGTTCAGCCTCGTCGGTCTCTATGCAACACTCCTTTCGCGGTCTGCTATGCCTCTAGGACTTCACGATCTTTTACTTTATACTCCGCCGATGTGATGATTGCGGACATATTGCTCAAGACCCTATCACCATGGACGTCTTCGGGACCCCAAAGTCAGGCTGAAACCAACGATCTAGTTTCGGATCAAGGCAGTGGCTAGCTCCTGGGCAAGGCGTCCAAGCCCAGTACTGTAGTAGCCGCCATTGGCATTCAACTTGGGGCCGAAAGGGCCCGGAGCGTCGCGTTCGCTGTCTTCAAACGAAACTAGCTTCAGCCGCATGAGGACGCCCTTCTCTTCTTTTTTCCTTTCCTCGTGCTGGCAGCTCTTGTTCTTCAATCCTCTTTTTTTTTTTTTTAAGACGTCTTGCCACTGCAATCTTCCTGAATGACGGATTTTATACTTATCTCTTGAGTTTAAGCGCTGATTGTTTCGGCTCTTTTGCTGCATACAAGTCCCCGACGGCCCGCTCCTTGGGATCCTCCCGCTCAGTTGGCAGAACTATACCACGAGATCCCCCATGGCTGATCACACCAGCACGACGTCATGGGCTCCTTGGAAGGTTCTCCTTGGTTGGACTCCTTTCCACATCGACGCCCTTGGTCTTGTAACGCTCTTGGGAGCTGAAGAGGTCAATGCTGCCGTAGGGCGACTCGTGAGCAGTGCCTATCTCGAATATTTACCTCTGCTGGGTGCATACGTCGTTGCTGGAAACCGATTTACTGAGAAGGCAGCTGGCTTCAATCTCTACAACATATCGCAAGGCATCCATACAACAGACCTCGCCGCCTGGTTGACAAGATGGATGCTCTCCCAGGAATTCGAAACCACTCGCAACTTCGTGGTTTGGACGGTGACGCCACCAAAATCCCGGAAGAACGAAATATCTTTTTCCCTGGTGATAAGCTTCGTTCTGAATGGCTTCCTCGTCGCCGGCACTCTTCTTTCCAAGGACTGGTATGGCTTTGCTAATGCAATGGCTATGGTTGTCTCCATCATCGTTCGTGCCTATGTTATCGGTCAACAACGTATCGGTTTCGATGCCATGGTAGACAAGGCTGTCGGGACATCAGGGCCTCCCACAGGGAACAATTACGAAGCGCGACGGTATGAGTATGAGTTATGGAAGCAAAAACAGAATGATGAGAAGAAGCCCATTTTAAAGAACAGAACAGTGCAGTCAGCGCCTGAGGAAACCCAATCCATTGGAAGCAATTCTTCGAACCCCTCAAACGGACAGACGAAAGCAATCCAGAATGTACAGCCCACAGTGCGTCCAACCCGTCCAGATCCCAGGGACTATGACAAAAAGAACGAGGTCTGGACCGGAAAACCCACGAAGGTTCTCATCATCCAATCTGATTCGAAAGCGGTTACCTTTTGGATGCCCAATGAGCTGCTGGTTGCGCCATCAGTCTTTATTGAAGGGCCTGTGATCTTGAATCCAAAGACGTATTTCATCATGAGATCCATTGGATGGCTGGCATTTGCTGTGCACATTGTCGCCATCGGTATGGCGGACTTGGCAAGTCAGATGTACACGGTCGCACTAATGGTGCTGCCAACCATTCTACTGATATCAAAGGTCGGATGTGACGACTCCGAGTGGTTTTCGAACTTCGAAAGTTGGATCGGAAGGAAGCTCTACAGCGAGGGCCACGATCGCAAGGCTGACAAACAACAAGACGCCGAGAAAAGCGTGAAGCCCACTGAATTCAGAAAATTGCGGCAGTGCTGGATAGGGTCCCGGCTCAGGGCAGAGATCTACGAGTGGCCTGAATCGTATGAGTTTCGGGAGGAAGGAGAAGGCAAGGACAAGAGGTGGGTCAGCGGAGGACGAAAAGAGGGCACAGAACGCTCCAAGAAACGGCAAGATCTATACGCCTGGCTCGCGCTCACCACGGACGAAGAAGAGAGCATGGACAAATGGGATCTTTTCCCGCACATCCGCCAGGGCAATACCTCATGGTGGCAAACCTACAAACTCAAGAAGGCAACGCTGAAAGGCGATAAGCGCGACGGCATGGGACCGCAGCAACCCGTCGATAATGCACTCCAGCTGCAGCCGCAACCGCAGCTGCCACCGAGCCAGCCGGCCGCCACCACCACCCAGAGTCATCCAGATCAGCGACCAAAACCGTTCCAAATGCCCGGCAGGACGGCGACTGTCCACTTCCTCGGCGGGAGCGCTCTGCCGCAGACAAGCAGGCACACGATGCCGGAGCCTCGCCAAAGCAGCTCAGTCACGGTCGGCAGTTCCGCGTTCCCTGCCATCAGCGACCACGATCAGATCAAGATCACCGACGGTGACGACGGCGCGCAGACCGGCGACGCCCAAACGCAGACTCAAGGGAGCACCACTGCAGAACCCGGCAACAGAGGTGCAATGACTGGACTTCCTCCAGTCGCCACTACCCATTTAGACAGCGCACCAGCGCCGGGTCCCGACAATGCAGCGTCTTCCTCCCCCGACATCTATCCTTCTGGAGTTCTGACTCAGTCGCCCACCACCACCGACAACACCCACGACGACAAACATAACTAGACACTATTATCTGTCTGGAAATCCCCGGACTATAGTTTTTGATATCCCTCTCTTTTCGCAATTTGGCACAGTTGGGCCTTGGTTGTCATGTTATGGGTGATCTTTGCCAAAGAGAACGTTTGATCAAGTTATGATGATCATTAATGACAGGTACATTGGACAGAAAAGTCTTTTTGGTGCAAGGAATTCGCAATTTTTCGCGGTGTCAGGGGATATATCGTATGAGAAGTTAAGAGGCGATTGAGACTTCGTGTCTTTTAGAATCTTCTTTTTTTTATATCCCATTTCATTCTGCCTGGTCTGCTGACGTTGCACACCTCACCTTTTTCGGCCCTGTGATATATTGAACGGGACCTTTATCGCACAAGAAGGTCTCGGTCCACTATTACCGTCGCAGTGGGCTCCAGCTCCAAGTCGATAAACTGTTCACGATAAAACACTCTAACCAACAATGCATCGTGACCGGCATTCTGGATCGTCGCTTCAACCAAGACACCCTCACGCCACTCCATCCCAACCACGAGATTGCCCTTGGCCTTAAGGCCGTTCACATGCCCACTCTCTTCCCACTTCTTGGGCAGCGCGGGCAAGATCTCCACCTCTCCGACAACCACGCTTCGCAGCAACAGCTCCGCCACCGCCGCAGTGGCCCCGAAATTCCCGTCCGCGATGAAAATATTCGTCTCCGCACCAGCAATCCCCGGCTTTGAGAAGGTTAGGAGATTCTCAAACGACAACTCAGAGATCAGATGCGTCAGAGAATTGAGTGCTGCATCTCCGTCATTGAGCCGCGCAAAGCCCATTGCGAAGAGGACGGCCGTGAACTCGATGTCTTCCAAGTCGGCGCGGGCTCGGCGCTTTTCGAGTGTGGTGCGAACGGCATCCGCTAGTTCAGGCGTGTGTCGTTTGCTGATTTGATTGCTGCGGATGAGGGCGACGATGTGCGACATGTGGCGATGGTCAGGTTGGGCTTCCTCGAAGTCTTCGAGCCATTCTTGCAATTGGCCATGCCTGCCAATTTGGAGGGGTGGGAGTTTTGACATAGCTTCTTCGACGCGCCGGATAAAGTCGTCATTTATAGCGCCCTGACTGTCCAGTGACGGCACGACATCGACACAGAATGCCAGCAGGTCTCTCACGAGAACCACATCCAAAGTCGGAGAGAGACTCAGTGAATGCTCTTCACGCTGGCCCTTTCCATCAACAAAGAACGTATTTTCGGGCGATACAGAGGGTCCTGTCACCAAATAGCCTGCCTTTTGGTCGACGGTGGACATATACTCTAGGAAGAACTCAGCTGCTGCCTTCAAAACGTCCCAAGCATATGCCTTCAAGTATGCCTTGTCGAGATTATACTCCCAGTGCTCTTTCATCTCCATTGCCATCCACAGCCCTCCGGTAACGTTCAGTCCCCAGCTCGTTTCCCAGCCGGGGGCTGTGAATCCCCAAACGTTCGAAAACACATGCGCGACCCACCCCTTTTGGGTGCCGTAGAAATTCCTCGCGGACTCGGCTCCCGCTGCTGCAAGTTTCTGCATGTATCTGGCAAGTGGTCCATGGCATTCATACCCTAGCCCACACGGTTCGAGCGGAAAGTAGTTCATTTGCGTATTGATGTCGAGATGATAGTCGCATGACCAGTTCATCGCATTGGCTTCTCGGTCGTTCCAAAGACCTTGTAAGTGAAGCGGGAGTTGAGAGTCTGACCGAGTACCTGCGATCAATAGGTAGCGACCATAATTGAAATATAACGTGTAAAGGGGTAGATCTTCTGAGGAGGCTCCATTTGAAGCAGCGAGTGCTTTCTGGCGCTGATCTGTAGGGAGGCGTGATGTTGGTGAAACAGAGCCGAGCGTCAGAGAGACTCGAGCGTATAGTCTCTTGTGGTCTTGCGTATGGGATTGCTTGAGTCTGTCATAGCCGGCATCTAGGGCTGTCTGGATCTGAGTTCGAGCCAGAGATATCCAGTCCTGGTTGGGCGGGACCAGATAGTCTGTATTCAGAGCCACCAATATCAATAAGAAGGAAGCATTGGTTACAGAAATGGCGTTTTCCGAAGGTAGCATATCGCCGTCGGCTTGGAGATCAACCAGACCATGCAGCTTGACACCACATGTTCCATCACTGTGCACAGTCTCAAGCGCTTGCGCGTGGATTTCCAGCTCAGCTGTGCTTGGTTTCCTGATAGACCAACTTTTGGTCTCTCCCTCGAACCCAACTTTGCATGAAATACCGGCCTTATTGTTTATCAAAATTCTCATAGCGATGACTTGATGAGGATGGGAAACGAATACCTCCCTCCTGATCTCTGTTTTGGAGTCGTCGGAGGTATAGGAGGCCCAGCCAACACCTTCGTCCAACTTTAAACCTCTCTCGAGCCTACCCTTCTCAGCACTGTCTCCAGGAGCTGCTCCAGAGCGAGAATACTCTATTTTGAGCCGTCCCACTCCCAGATTCGTGCCGAAATCCCCTTTCAGAGGTTGCAGCCATCTCTCTGCCAACGTTTGAACGGCCTGGTGGTCTCTTTGCACATACCGCTCACGCATCTCTTTAATGGCGGTCTTGCCGCCATATTGGCTCTGCGGTCTGTAAGGCTTGCCTGACCAGAAGGTAACCTCATTCAACAAAAATATGTCAACGTCTGCATTTGACATGAGACTGACGCCCATTCGGCCATTCCCAAGTGGAAGCGACTGAGGAAAGTCTGTAGCCGATGTGATGTAGTATAGATTATGCGATGGGTCCATCGTTGGTAGAAGGTGCGAAGGAGGCGATGCCTTGTCCTTGAGCACAGTAGTGATATTGATCTTGGATCGCCCGAGCGTCAAGTAAACCGGTGCAACTCAAGTATATCTAGACCTTTCCCCTGTGTAGCCGACCTTCACATAGCTTAAAATCCAGTCGCTTTTCGACCGTAGCCGAACAGCTCTTCAAGAATACGTCCGTAGCCATTCGAAGTGGGCTGAAGGGCGAACTTCTGAGGATCCATGCAGGCGACCCATCCAGTCATCTTAGAAGACCCGGAATGGATCGTCCCTGTGCGGGTTCGTGCCAATCACACGACAACGTTCGGCAATTCGGTATAGTCAGTAAAGCCGACCAGAAATCAAATTTCAGTGGCTCATGGGAAGAGATCAATGCCGAACCTGTTATCCCGCGATTGGGGGCGCAATTGGAAGTATTTGAAGAAAAGATTCATATCATTTCGACCATGATCAACTTGGAGGGTGTAACTCGTTGCTCCGAAAGGTCCCAACTTCCCTGCGAGTTGTGACGCCAGGTGCTTGAAGGGGCTTATTCACACACAGGATTCCCGGTTGATAACTTGATTGGACCAATATGACAATTTTAGACAAGAAGATGACAGCCGACGAGAGATTCTCCAATGGCACCCATCATGGCACGACGAATTTCGACGAAATCACCATCCAGTCCTATCAGGTGCATGGTGAGTCTGCATTTCAGAACTGCAGACGCTTTGAGAGACTAACTGGTTGGATCAGACCTTCGCTTCCCGACGAGTCTCACCTTGGCAGGCTCGGACGCAATGAATGGCACTCCTGACTATAGTGCGGCATACATTGTTTTGGGTACCAACTCGGATTTTGCAGGACACGGCTTCTCATTCACCATAGGCAGAGGAAATGATCTGGTCTGCGAAGCTGCTCGTACCATCGCAGGGCGTCTCGTGGGTAAGCGGCTGGCTGAGTTGACATCTGATATGGGCAAGACATGGCATTTCCTCGTTTCCGATTCTCAGCTCCGGTGGGTAGGTCCTGAAAAGGGTGTCACTCACCTAGGTCTGTCTGCCTGTGTCAACGCTTTGTGGGATCTCTGGGGACGAGCAGAGAGAAAGCCCGTTTGGAAACTCATAGCCGATATGAAGCCAGAGGAGTTTGTGAGGTGCATTGATTTCCGCTACATTGAGGACGCCATCACCCCGCAAGAGGCAATCGCTTTGTTAGAAGCGCAAGAAGCGTCAAAGCTACAGCGACTTCGGGATGCAGAAAACAATCGGGCGGTGCCTGCATATTCGACCGAGGCGGGGTGGTTGGGATATTCCGACGACAAGATGCGGAAGCTAATGAAAGACCTTCTTGCCGCTGGCCACGACAAGTTCAAACTAAAGGTCGGGAAGGATCTTGAGGATGACAAGCGACGGTGCCGAATCGCCAGAGAAGTTATGGGCGACGAAAAGACCCTGATGGTAGATGCGAACCAGGTCTGGGGAGTATCCGAGGCCATACAATGGATGCTTCAGTTGGCGGAGTTCAAGCCAGCGTAGGTCCCATTTCATCACGCCTCAAACACTCGTCACTGACAGGGGCTGAATTTGCAGGTTTATTGAGGAGCCAACATCACCAGATGATATTCTTGGGCACGCTGCGGTTCGAAAAGCTCTTAAAGCTCATGGCATAGGGGTTGCAACAGGGGAGATGTGTCACAACCGAGTGATGTTCAAGCAATTGCTCCAGGCGGAGGCTATCGATGTTTGCCAGATTGACGCTTGTCGTCTGGGGGGTGTAAACGAGGTCCTGGCTGTTCTTGTGATGGCGAAAAAGTAAGGAGCAAGACTCCCGAGAAACCCCAGTCCAAACGGCTAACAAAACTCCTAGATTTGGAGTCCCTGTTGTACCGCACAGTGGTGGCATAGGCTTGAATGAGTATACGCAGCATTTGTCTTTGGTGGATTACCTTTGCGTATCCGGGGAGCGGAGCATGCTCGAGAACATCACCACCTATAACCACGTGCTCACCACGCCATTGCAAACGCGTGATGGCTTTTTCGTGACGCCATCAGAATCCGGCTACAGTGTCGAATTTCGAGAGGCCGCAATCGCGGAATACAGCTATCCAGAGGGCACCTTCTGGTGCTCTAAGGATGGCTTGTCAATCATCGATGGCGGCCTGAATTGATGGTCAATTGAGACCTGGATCTCGGCACGCAACATGTCCATTGAGCCGCTGCTCAGCTGCTGAAATTTGGATCATTGGACTTCAGGCAAATGGAATTGATTGACCAGCACGCGAATGTGCTGCTAGCCAATCGTTCATGTTCATAGGTTCAATATGGCGTAAATAGACGGGATCGAGATCTGCCGAGGATGAGAGATTTGGTGTATTTAAACCTGATGACATCTCTCTTTGCTTACTATGACCATGGACTTCTGGTCCCGCGGTTTGAGGCCATTCTCGTGGATAGACTGGTGATGCTTCCGGGGGCAGAGGTAGGTCATCCACTTTGCTAGCTCTTCCAAGGTTCTGGTAATGTCGAAGGACCATAAGATCGCCGACACTGATGCGCTGGGTGAGGAACGAAGCTAAAGGATCATGTGCTTCTGACATTTGCGTCCTCAAATCATGGTCCTTGATTGATGCGGCCAGCTCGAAGAATTCGCAGTAAAAAATAGCGTGCCAATAAATATCACGCAACTGGCGCAAGAATATCATGCAAAGCTCAAACCGATTCTTGTGAACCTGGAGTCTTTCCTCCGATCTTGAGGATCTAATTCCAAGAACGTGCACAATGAGAGGCGCCAAAGTGAAAGTGACAGCAATTGTGGGACAAAACCTCACCAGGTCAAGGTTGACGAGATGAGTAAACAGCTGCGTGTTATCCAAGGCTGCAAACTCAACCTTTTGCTGACATGTAGTAGTCCAATCGCCTGCTCCGTTCCAGAGAGTAAGTGACTGGTACAATGCGATGCGAATGGTATTGAAGCATGCATGCAATACCGCCCGATACATAGCAGCGACCCCTATGTTTCCCGAGACAGCTTGCAAATGGTCTTGTCTTTTCGCCTGAGGTGGCAGAGATCGCATCCAGTGTTCCAAGGCATCTTCGCAGACTTTGAGTTGATCAGGAGGGGCCGCATCTGTCACTGAGCTTGAATACCGTAGAGTTACAATGCCTTCGACGATCTGGCAAAGCTTGACAAATTCGATGAATATGGCCTTGATCTCAAGATCTTGCTCGGAGTCACCTTCTTCTTTCACGTCTTCGAGCACAAGCATCAATGTAGTGCAGTCTAGGCTGTTGATCATGAGAGGACGACCAGTTCCCAGGCCATTGCAGCGATCCCGGACGACACAGGCCCACCAAATTCGTGCCCACAAAGCCCGGTGAGGGACATTCCCGGGATCTCTGTGCAACCCGCTGACTTGTGCCAAGCTGATGGCTTGGTGTATCCAATGCCACGTGTGCTTGCGTTCAGTGATAGAAGGATAGTACTGACTTATCAGCAATAAGGCCTGAATAGTTGCAATCGGGTCTTCATTATAGTCGAGGTCATAGAGTCGGCGCGCCTTGAGGTAATACGCGTGGCGCGCTTGCTTGCGGGATGAGAATCCTGCGGCCGAAACGATCCCAGAGGGCACAACTCCAATCGCTATGAAGAGCACGGCTTGGAGCAGCAAGAGACAGGAATGTGAATGGCGGCCTGAAGGATAAGAAGCAGCTTGAGTAGAGCTTGCATGATGTGCAGCATTTGGACTGGTGTTCGCCCAACCTTCGACAGATTTAACAGAGTGCAAGAACTCCGACTTCTGGACAACAGGGAAGAACGGGTGGAAAATAGTGAAATACGCATCAATCAAGGCCAAGAGGACGTGTGGTGGGGGAATGTCGAAGCACCCGACGTTCTTGAGATATTGCAACTCATTTTCACCGCATCCAGATATTGGTGTAATGGATCCATGGTTTTTGTCTGATGCCAGTTGAAGCACTATGTCCTCGAGAGATCCCGCATCAGGACGTTGAGCTTGAGAGAGGCGCATCAAAAAGGCATAATGTGGGACCGAATGCAGCAACCTGTGTCTGGAGAAGGATGATGTCCGTCGTGTTGAAGCTCGCTCAATCTCCTCTGGAGTTGCAGACAGCTCCTCGACAGCTGCGCTGCCGGACACCCGGAGACCTGTAGAAGAGGTACCAGTTGCATCGAGACGCGTCTGATCAAGAATCGAGGATGGTAGAATGGGGCTAGCTCCATCTATGGCGATTCTTTGACGCTTCTTTCGATCAATAGCCTGGCATTCGAACCCATCTTGATAGCAGTTCGAACATGGTGAACCTTTCGCTGCATAATCGCATCTAACCTTCCGTTTCCGACACGACAGGCAGGCTTTCGCTGCACGTCGATTTCGGTGATGGGCTGTTGATGGCATTACATCTCCTCGAGGTGGTGAGTAGGTAAGCTGTGTAGAATGAACTGGAATGTGTGGGGAAGATGAGCCCTTCTGACCCTTAATACCGGCTGGTGAGTAGCATGCGAAGGCTAATGGTACATCAGTCCTAATGCGGTTAAAGTCGAACTGGAGCTATTACTCACACGACGGCTACAAGTACATAAAGCCCTTAAAAGTCACGAGACTGGGCGTCCCACGAAAAGTTATTTCATTATTCCAAAATATGTCGTGACCGGTCCCTTCAAAGCCTTGGACACTTATCCTCGTGAAAGCTCTGATCCTACATGCGAATATCAGGCTCTTTGAGATCGATTCGAAATCAATTTATGGTTCAGCAGATGAAATGCCGGCTTCACAATCCAAATGAACACCCCAGTCGGATCTCAGTATCGACCATCAGCCTTGCTCCAAGTACATGACATTTAGTCTTCTAAGTGCTGCCACAACGATGCTGGTAGGTCGTTCGCGTCTACGTCAAAAATGTGCGGGAAGATTGTCTTCAAGTTTTCAGATCTGAGTGCTGGCCACTGCTCGCGGATGGTCTGCCGCAGCACGTCGTACCAGATTTGGTATCCATTGGCTGTGAAGTGGACACCATCCGAAGCCAATAACCCGGCAAGCGCTCTAGATGTGGCCAGGGCTCGAGATGGATAACTTGATTGAACGGCCCCAGCGCATTCCCCGCCAGCGATACGGGTCTTCTGCCCGGGAATAGGCTGTCCTTCCTTCCACCCTGTGGAGTCCATGAAGGCCTGCCACAAGTCAATAAAGGTAACATTGTTCCGCTTCCCGAATTTTCCGGCGACTTGTGCTGCAGCATCCGAGTATTGTCTTGCTCTCTCGGTGTCTCGATCCGGAGGGGCTTCTGGTGCGAGCTCATTGACTGGTGCTGGTCCTACAAGAACCACGGCTTCAACTCCGTGTCCTTTAGCTACCTCCACCATATATGATAGATTTTCCTTATATCTATCGATTGGTACACATTGCGACAATGTGTTATGCTTGGGATCTGCGGCATCATTTGTGCCAAAGAATATCACCAACAGTTTGATCTTTGAACAGCGGGGTCGATTGGTCTGCGTTGGTGCGGGCGTTTCTGCCTGGAGAATAGCATTGATGATATGGCGCCCATGTTCAGTGTTATACCCGCCATATCCGTGTGTTATGACCTGTAATTTGGACCAGTATTCATGTTGCAATGCTGGCGCAAGGTTGAATCCGCCAGCTTGGCTGGAACTTTGCTCGGTTTGTGAATCGCCAAAGAGAACGATTTTGTTGACGGCAATAGATCTCATGGTTACGAGTTAGCGAGTGGCTGCCACTGCCGACACATTCATAACCCCTCGAGGTAATCATTCACTTACGGCAGACTTCAGCAACAGGATTCCTCGATGTCTTCTATGACTGCGCTTTGGACGGCATAGTCGGTCGAGGGCGAAGGCAATCCTTTGGAGTCTCTGGCTCAGAGCGGATTCTACGGGGTACTTGCCGATTAGCCGTGATGATGTTCTCAGTCAAATACCGGTACAACCAATGGGGCTGATATTCTCGGCAAAAGCGTTGCGGCAAAATCCCGTTTTGACTTTTGGCGGCTTAACGAAGCGATGCTACCTCGACTTCTGGCTTTCCCCATGGGGCGGACGAGTAGATGGAGACACGCTCGCTGGAGATCATCCTGAAAGCGACTAAGTCTTTATGTCCCCCGCATTGTGGGCAGGCATGGCTAAACAAAACTTGGAAAATGGGCCGTTTGTGTCGGATATTCTAGCGGCTTTGATGTACTGTGATTGGTACTACAATAATACTGAAGCGGGTTGCTGGCGATGTTGCATCCAAACCAACATGACCATAAGAACTGGATGTCTCTGCTGAAATCGTTCATCACGACCATTCAAGACTGACAGCCTTCGAGTTGAGGTGTTATTCTTAGCCTCCTTCCCAACCCCCGTTCTTGGTCCCTCTGTCACAGTCCTACGCGTCCCATACAACCAGGCCTCATAGCAGTCATCATGGCCACAACGACGGAGACACAAGACAAGGATGGCACCACGTTCATTGAACACTCTGCCAACCTCGAGCCAGGCCTCACAGTCGAGAAGACACTTACCGATGCTGAAGTCACTGGCAAGTTAGACAGCATCAGCACCTCCATGGCCAACCAAGGCACTCACACTGAACATGAGCTCAGTTATCTCGAGGCGCTGAAGATCTATCGTAAAGGCGCCTTCTGGTCGATATTTTTTTCTCTGTCCATCATCATGCGCGCCTACGACATTGAAATAACTGGGAATTTCTTCGCCCTCCCATCGTTCCAGAGTCATTTTGGCCACCAAGTACCTGGTCATGGCTATCAGATACCTGCTAACTGGCAGGTCGCCATGTCTATGGGTTCCCTTGTTGGACAGATCATTGGCGCATACATTGTCGCATGGCCAATGGAGAAGATTGGGCGCCGGAAGACGCTGGCAGTGTATCTCTTGTTCACCTCAGCTTTGGTGTTCATGCAGGTCTTTGCTCCAAATATCGAGGTGTTGACAACAAGCATGTGTAAGTGTTTCGTCACAACAATGCCATAGGTCAACTGTGAGACTGATATCAATTTTCCCCTTCCCTCGATAGACCTGTCAGGCATTATCTGGGGTGGATACTGCGTCCTTGCTCCAACTTACGCGTCCGAGTGTCTTCCGATGAAACTCAGAGGTTTCTTGACTGGTTATATCAACCTATGCTACGTGATGGGTCAGTTCATTCAGACGGGAATCACGAGAGGCTTCATCAACAGAGTAGACAAGTGGGCATACAAGATTCCCTATTGCATACAATGGGCGTGGCCAATTATCATCCTCCCTGGGTTAGTTTGGGCCCCAGAGAGCCCTTGGTGGCTTGTGCGTCAGCATAAGATGGAGGAGGCAGAGAGGTCTCTGAAGAGATTGTCAGAAAAGCACGAAAAAGTGGAAGTGACGAATACTCTGGCCATGATGGTGAAGACTGGTAGGCGCACTCTCTCATTGTACAGGCCATCCTGCAGCAACTACTGGTTCTTGCGACTTCCTCACGATGTCGGTGCTAACTTCACGCACTTTTTAGATCTCTACGAGCGCGAAGTTGAAGTAGGCACCACTTACATTGATTGCTGGAAGGGCCCAAACCGCAGGAGAATGGAGATTTGTATCATGCTTTTTGTCATCCAAAACTTTTCGGGCAACCCGGTCGGCTTTGCGACATATCTCTTTGAGCAAGTCGGGTTGAGTGCCAAACACTCTTTTGACATGGGCCTTGGGTAAGTTGGCAAGCTGGGAAGCCCTCCATGTTCCTGATTGTTTGTTCAGATTACTAACCTCCTCTACCACCACAGTCTCAACGGCCTTGGTTTCCTTGGGACTCTTGCATCTGCCATCCCACTCATTTATTTCGGAAGACGCCTCTGTTACATGGCGGGTCTGGCCTATATCATTGTCATTCTCTTCATTGTGGCCTTTATGTGTCTTGCGTCAGACTATGCAGGCAATCCATCGTACTCTTGGGCGCAAGCGGCGCTCTTGTGCACCCTGCAGTTCGTTTGGCAAATGACTCTCGGCCCGCTTACCTACGTTGTGGTCTGTGAAACTCCGTCCACGAAACTCAGGTCGAAGACCATAGCTCTGGCAACGGTGATCGATGCAGCAACAGGACTGGTCACCACAGTTATCGGCCCGTACCTCCTTAACCCTGGCGCGGCAAATGCTGGGGCCAAGATCGAGTTCTTGTACGGCGGTATCTCAGTCATCTCGCTCACATGGTGCTTTTTTCGTCTTCCGGAGACCAAGGATCGGACTTTTGAAGAGTTGGATATCTTATTTGAGAAACAAGTGCCAGCGCGACAGTTCAAGGACTATGTTATTGATCGCTCTGACGAGCAATGAGGGAGAAACATGAGGTGATTTATGCATCGAGAACACCACGGACCTTCCTTTCTTACCGCATCTCAAATAGCAGATAGCTCTACAAGGTACAAGTAGGAAAAGACACAACTGGAATTTGTACCCCTGGGAATTTTGCCTTACTGTCTCTCCGAGTACGGCGCCGCAAATAGTCCATTTAACGCACTAATGCAAGGCTGCGTTAGTCCGGCGCTAGTGTGTACAGGGACTGGATCCGCCAAGACATGAAAATGACAAACCTCGAAGCTCTCTGCCCCTTGTTTCTCATGACTCAGTCTCCCAACGAGAGTCCCGAACCCTGGATGCGCAATCATGCCTCTGGTCAATGGGACGGCGAAGGAAGTACGAGTCAGCCTCCTCGGAAAAGAGAGCATCATCATCAATTTTGGATTATGGCGGAACTATGTCGCTTCCGATCTACTGTCGAACCTGGAGTCATCAACGTATGTCTTGATCACTGACACTAATCTGGGTTCACTCTACACCAAATTTTTTCAAGAAGCCTTTGAAAATGCATCGCAGCAAAAGGCAAAATCAGCACGGTTGTTGATCCACCAAATTCCGCCGGGAGAGAGCTCAAAATCTCGACAAACAAAGGACGACATCGAAGATTGGCTGCTCAGCCAGAGCCCGCCATGTGGTCGAGACACGGTTATCATTGCGTTAGGAGGTGGCGTTGTGGGTGACCTGACAGGATTTGTTGCCGCCACATATATGCGCGGCGTGAGATTTGTGCAAGTCCCCACAACACTGCTCGCAATGGTTGACTCTTCGATCGGCGGAAAAACAGCTATTGATACTCCTCTCGGCAAAAACCTTGTCGGAGCTATATGGCAGCCACAAAGAATATACATTGACCTTGATTTCCTTGGAACCCTACCTCGACGAGAATTGATTAATGGAATGGCTGAGGTCATCAAAACCGCAGCGATCTCTGACGAAGAAGAATTCATCGAGCTGGAACGTCATGCTGAGCGGATAATGGCTGCTGTAAATGCCGACATCAGCCACGGTGCTTCTAGGTTCAAGGACGTAGAGGCGACTTTGATCAGAATTATTTCTGCTTCCGCAAAGTTCAAGGCCCACGTCGTTACCATCGACGAAAGAGAGACCGGCCTGCGCAACTTATTGAACTTTGGACATTCTATCGGCCACGCCATCGAAGCTTTTCTGACACCTCAAGTGCTCCATGGTGAATGCGTTGCAATTGGCATGATCAAGGAGGCTGAGCTCGCTCGATACTTGGGTATTCTCAGTGGTGTTGCTGTCGGCCGTCTCCAAAAGTGTCTGACTACGTACGGTCTGCCAACTCGACTCGATGACGAGAGAGTGCGCAAACTGTCCGGAGGTAAGGTCTGTACGGTCGACGGCATGCTCAAGAAGATGGGTGTGGACAAGAAAAACGATGGTGCCAAGAAGAAGGTCGTCCTTCTCTCAGCAATTGGTCGAACCTACGAACAGAAAGCCAGCGTTGTCTCAGACTCCGACCTGCGCGTTGTGCTTTCTCCGACCGTGGAAGTGGTCCCAGGGGTACCAAAGGACCTCAATGTTGTCTGCACTCCACCTGGATCAAAGAGCATTTCCAACCGAGCGCTCGTCCTTGCAGCACTCGGTCGCGGAACATGCCGTATTCAGAATTTGCTGACCTCGGCGGACACAGAAGTGATGCTAGAGGCTCTAACACGACTTGGAGCTGCCACATTCTCTTGGGAAGAAGATGGTGAAGTTCTTGTTGTGAATGGGAATGGTGGTCGGCTTGAGGCCACACAACATGAGCTCTACTTGGGCAATGCCGGAACGGCCGCCAGATTCTTGACGTCAGTTGCGACATTAACCAGGCAGAGCCATGTAGCATCTACAGTGCTTACTGGCAACACCCGAATGAAGCAACGACCTATCGGAGATCTCGTAGATGCGTTGAGAGAAAATGGCGCCGGAATCGAATATCTGGAGAACAATGGAAGTCTACCACTCAACGTCACAGCCTCAGCTGGGTTCAACGGCGGTGAAATCAAATTGGCAGCAAAGGTGTCGTCACAATATGTCTCTTCTCTGCTGATGTGTGCCCCCTATGCAAAGAAGCCTGTTACACTCAGACTCGTGGGCGGAAAGCCTGTTTCGCAACCCTACATCGACATGACCATTGCAATGATGGCCTCTTTCGGCGTGCCAGTGCAAAAGTCAAAAACAGAAGCACACACCTATCACATCCCGCAAGGCATTTACTTGAACCCGACCGAGTATGTGGTCGAAAGCGATGCAAGTTCTGCAACTTACCCACTTGCAATTGCGGCGATAACAGGCACAACATGCACAATTCCCAATATTGGCTCGGCCTCTCTCCAGGGCGATTCGGCATTCGCTACCGATGTGCTGAGACCGATGGGCTGTCAAGTGAAACAGACACTTTCATCAACTACCGTAACGGGGCCTCGAGATGGCAAGCTCGTACCATTGGCAAGTATCGACATGGAGCCAATGACGGACGCCTTCTTGACTGCCTCTGTTGTGGCGGCCGTGGCTCAGGGCGGGAAGTCCAACACTACCCGCATATATGGCATTGCAAATCAGAGGGTCAAAGAATGCAACCGCATTCAAGCGATGGAGGATGAGCTAGCAAAGTTTGGTGTTACATGCCGACAGTTTGACGATGGCATCGAAGTGGACGGGATCGACCGTGCCAGACTAAGACGGCCGCAGGGGGGGGTGTATTGCTATGATGATCATCGAGTCGCCATGAGCTTCAGTGTTCTCGCATTGGCAGCTCCTCAATCTACTCTCATTCTCGAGAAAGAATGCACGGGCAAAACTTGGCCGGGGTGGTGGGACACCATGGCTCTGCAATTCAACGTCAAGCTCGAGGGGGTTGAATTGCAAGAAATTGCTGAACATGCGAAAGCTAAGAAATCAGATAGAAGCGCGGCTTCGATTTTCATCATCGGCATGAGAGGTGCCGGCAAGACCACCTCCGGGTGCTGGGCGGCGAGATCACTAGGGAAGAAATTAGTCGACCTAGACACCGAGCTGGAGAGCCGCGAAGGCATGTCAATCCCGGAGATCATCAAGGGACAAGGCTGGGATTATTTCCGGAAACGCGAGTTGGAGCTCCTCAAATCTGTCATGAAGGACATGCCAAATGACTACGTCTTCGCTTGTGGTGGCGGTGTGGTCGAGACCCAGGAAGCGCGGAACTTGTTGGTCGCATGGCATGAAAAAGAAGGCCACGTTCTCTTGGTTGAACGTGACATCAACGAAGTGATGGACTTCCTGCAAATTGACAAAACAAGACCAGCGTACGTGGAAGACATGATGGGTGTCTGGCTCCGGAGGAAGCCGTGGTTCGAACAATGCAGCAATCTTCTATATTACAGCCAAAGCATCCCCAACGAGCAAATGTCCGAAGCTGCTGAGGATTTCGACCGCTTTTTACAGATGGTGACAGGCAAAATCGACGTTCTGTCCAAATTCAAGCGGAAGTCGGAGACTTTCTTCGCGTCTCTGACCTTCCCGGACCTGCGACCTCATCTGAAAATCCTACCCGAAGTCTGCCTTGGATCCGATGCGGTAGAACTGCGCGTCGACCTCCTCAAGGATCCCAAGTCAGACGGCGCCATCCCCTCCGCCGACTATGTCACCTCTCAACTCTCCTTGCTCCGCGCAACCGTCCCTCTTCCCGTTGTTTTCACGATCCGCACGAAATCCCAAGGGGGCAAATTCCCCGACGAGGCCTATGCAGAGTATCTCCATTTGTGCACCCTCGCTATCCGCATGGGCAGCGAATTCTTGGACCTGGAAGTGGCGTCTTTTCCCGAGTCCGTCCTCTCTCCGATTCTCAGCTTCAAGAACAGGTCTAACACGCGAATCATTGCCTCCCATCATGACCCGCAGGGAGCGTTATCCTGGTCGAAGCCGGGCTCTTGGATCTCCATTTACAATAAATGCCTCCAGTATGGCGACATTGTGAAACTGATCGGGGTTGCCGGCATCCTTGACGATAATTTCGCGCTCCAACGTTTCAAGCAGTGGTCGAGGTCCCAACACCCGGACCTGCCTCTGATCGCGATAAACATGGGTCGGACAGGACAGATTTCCCGGGTCTTGAACGGCTTCATGACCCCAGTCTCTCACCCGTCCCTCCCGTTCAAAGCCGCACCAGGGCAGCTGTCTGCGTGCGAAATTCGGCATGGATTGACGCTGATAGGCGAGATCGTGCCCAAGAAATTCTACCTTTTCGGATCGCCGATCAGCGCGAGCAAGTCGCCGGAGTTGCACAATACACTGTTCAAGGAGACGGGACTGCCACACGTGTACTCTTTGTGCGAGACCACTGACCTGGCGGTGATAAAGGAGATCATCCGGGCAGAGGATTTTGGGGGGGCGAGCGTAACTATCCCGCTTAAGTTGGACGTCATGCCTCTCCTGGACGATGTGGATGCGTCTGCCCGCCTCATCGGTGCTGTGAACACCATCGTCCCGGTCTCCAACCCTGTCTCAGGCAAGAACTCGCTGGTCGGTTACAATACGGACTTCCTCGGCATGATGGATTGCCTCCGTGCAGCGGGTGCGTCTGCAGCACTGGGCGAAGGCGAGCAGTCCGGCTTGGTCATCGGTGGCGGCGGCACGGCGAGAGCGGCCATCCACACGCTGCACACGATGGGGTACAAGCCCATCTACTTGATCGGGAGGAATCAGGGTAAGATGGAAGAATTGGCAAGGACGTTCCCGCCGGTCTACGACCTCGTCTTACTAGACGCCGAGAGGTCTGCGGCGGCAGAGCAGAAGATGACAACGCCGCCGGTCGTCGCCATCGCCACCATCCCCGCTGACTTGCCCATCGACCCTCCCCTCGCGGCGTCCCTGCAGAAGATCTTCTCGCGGTCCGCTCTACTCGCGACATCCACGGCTCCAAAGGGCCAAGGCACCTCGGCACCCACGCGCACGCTGTTGGAACTGGCGTACAAGCCCGCGCACACGGCCGTGATGCAGATGGCAGAGGAAGTGGGCGGTTGGAAGACCGTGCAAGGACTAGAGACGCTGGTCACGCAGGGCCTGTGGCAGTTTGAGTACTGGACGGGAATCGGGGTAAGAGGTCTCGGTGGGAGGCTTAGTCGGGTGAGTTAAGTTCTTTGTTTGATTTGATGCGTGCTCCCCCGTTTTCCCTTCCCGGTGCATCCTTCTCAGTAAGAGAGAGCATTTCTCACGCCCCCCCTCCCTCTTTTGCCGATGAGCGAGGCACACATCCACTCCATCAATCCATCTCTATCTCTTTCTGCTTTGAACCGGTCTCTGTCGATTAAAACCCCGTTCGCGTTCTTGCTAATCCCTGTGTTGAAACAGGATGTTGTGCTCGGGCCGGCCGCTTGAGAGGGCTTATTCCTCCACGTTGGCCGTTTCTGCGAGACGAATGAAGTGGGGAAAGTCGAAGGGTGTCGAAAAAAGAAACGGCAGAACGAAAGGAGAGCAGGGAAAGGAAGGGGAGGGGAAGAAGCTTAATCGTCGTCGGTGAGACTTCTCGTCGTGGTAGGAGCCACTAAAGGGGAAGAGAAAAGTTTTACAGCAAAAGAAAAATGAGAGAGACAAACTTATGTGAATTTTGAACGTCGTGTTCGTCAATACAGCTCTACTGTGCGCTGACCAGTTGAACATGGTTGACTTTCCAAGCTTAAATTGTACAGTATCTACACATATATCCTCCTTTACTGTCCCTGTGCCCTTCTCTGTTCCTCTACCTGCCTCTGCAACGCCGCTGCAATAGCCGGATTGTTGGCCCAAGCACCAGAGAGGTAATTTGTTTGTCCGCTCGTGTGAGGCTTAGCGCCATAATGATGCTGGCCGCCTTGATATTGGCCTGGCTGCTGCTGCTGATATTGCTGCTGATGGGGGAAATTGCTACCGGGAAACAGCGGGGGCGGAGGCATGCCCGGTGGTACAGTGAACGAGGGGAAGTTGACGGGAGGTTGGAAACCTTGGCCAAAGTTGAACTGAGCATTTGGGAGGGGAGTGATCGGCGAAGGCGTCATCGGGGGGTATGATATATTTTGCGGTGATATCGAGGGCGTCGCTGGAAGGTTCAGATTTGGCAGGGGTACTGTGGAAGTGTTGTAGCCATTTTGATGATTTTCGTGGGAAGCATTGTGTTGACCAAAAGGAGTTTCACGAGGCTGGCGGAAGCCACCCCGTCCACGTTGGGGCCGAAATCCTCCTCTGCCTCCTCTGCCATGACCATAACCTCTTCCCCGCCCACCCGACTCATTTCCTCTGAAATAGGAGGATTGGGGCGGTGGTGGAAGCGGATGCATCATACCACGTTCCTGAGGCTGCTCTCGAAGCCGTTCTCCATTGGCCACCATTTCTGTAAGCTCAGTTGGTCTTTGCAATGGCGTATAGCCGTCATCACCTGTATCTGGCACTGACACATCGTCATAGTTGATTTCCAGCGAGCCACTGCCGTATGCAGAGCCATCACTGTTGGTGTGGTGACGAGGGCCACCATGATAACCCCCTCGACCTCCGCCGCTTCCACCACGATGCGGTCCTTTGGCAAACTTTGAGCTGCCACGACCCCTTCCTGTGTCCAGTGTCCTTCCCTGCCTCTTGGCTTTCATCTGGCGCTTGTGATCGGCCTCAGCCTCGTCATCTGAGAACTCCATCTCGTCCTCACCAACTTCCTCGTCGTGGAAATTTGACGCGTCACTTCCCTTGACACATTTCAACGGTTGAGTGAAGACAAACGTCGAATGGTGAGGGACGTAGAACACAGTGGTGCCACTTTCCGAGAGACCGGCCTCTTTGATGTCGTCATCGTTGGTGAACCGAATCGTGTATCTGGGTTCCTCGACACGCCCTATCAAGTCGGCAACCACTCCTACCACTGATCGATCTTTCAGACAAATCAAGGATCCGGGTTCTAACACTTGATATTCCCCCGACGTCTTAGCCTTCACAACGACAGTACTCTCCACCACAAATTCAACGTTGCCCAATTCTTCAATTTTCATGTCTTCTGTGACAATAATGTCTGGTTTGGGTATGACTTCTTCCATGCGTTCATTTGCCGTCCGTAATAGTCCTCCCTCTTTTTTGTCCCGGGGTCCTCCTCCTTCGTCATCGGAACCTGCATCGCCTTGCATGAGTATCCGCGCCGTCTCCTCGGGATCCAGCATAGCGTAGTCACCGTCGACATCCTCGTCGCTGTCTTCTTCCGAAGAACTATCATCTGAGGTGTCAGAATCGGAATCTGAGGAGGATTCATAGGGTGATGAATCGATTTCCCACTCGGCGCCTTCAGCACCTGGTTCAGGTGCGTCGGCGCCATCTGCGGGGATTGCGTCCGTTGCGTTGGAATCGACAGGGGCTGGGGTGCCGGTGGCATTCTCCAGCGTGAGCACGGAGGTATTGGTGTCGATTGCGGCCTCAGCAATGCCGCCTTGATGGGCATTATGGTCCAGGGCAACAGTCTCTGTCACGTCCATGGCCTCAACATCCTCGGAAACGGTAGCATCCGGCGCATGCTCTTGACTTGTATCAACTGGGTCATTCGTATGGGCATGGACATCAAGACCTCCGTCTTCGCCCTTGTTCAGTCCTCTGTCAAGCAGCATCCCATCGGTCGTGGGCGGCATGCCGCTCGTCCTCGTGGAAGGGTCTGACAGTGGTCTTGCAGCAGCGGCCTCTGCCTCGACTTGCTGCATCAGCGCATCTAGAAGAGAATTTGAGTCCGGCTGCTCAGGGGGTGCGTGCCCTTGTCCCTTGTCCAAACTGGTAGCTGATTTGTGTGGCTCTGGCTCTGCCGTGGAAACGCTCTCCTCGGATGGGAGCTGCTCGCGAACCGAACCATTTTGCTCAGTGGCGGGTATTGACTCGGGAGGGTCGATGGTACGCCCAGTTTCGTCTGGCGAATCCATTCTCTGGCGCTTAGCAGGAGATGTTGGGAAGTCTTCAGCATCCATGGCTCGGTAAGGGGAGGGACCTGGTGAGTGAACTGGTGGTTACCGAGTACAGCAGGACAATGAACCGTGTCCCAAAAAAAAAGATTCTGAAAAATGCGGAGAAAGACGAGCATGAAAATCGGCGGCACCTGCGCAGCTGGTGGCAGCCGATGGCCACCCGGAACAATTCCTTCTCTCCACCTCTCACTTACCACTCACCAGCGCTCACCCACGAAGTCCTCACCTACTCGCTAACTAATTACTTCTACACCGAAACTTCTTCCACGGTCTTTCCATTGGTTGTGGCAATATGTCTTTTCAATCCTCCCCTCTGGAATTGAAATTTTCAAGTCTTCTCTATCCTGAGCATTACTGAAACATCGTTATTGGCCATCGCCGCTTCTCCATGGCTGATGTCGCGGTTTTCCCTTCAGAGTGTATTGCTTTGTCAAGACTTCCCTCGCTGGACTCCCTACCCGACAGAGGTGCTAACAACAATAGCCCCATGTCAGCTGGCTCTCTTTCCGACGACGATGCACCCTTCCTGGCCAGTATCGATGGAGGAGGAGACTCAGCGAGCGATGAAATATCCCCCCGACTTGCTCGGAGGCTCTATGTTTCCCACTTTCTATCCACTTGGAATTTTCGCGGATTCGAATTCGGCGCTGTTTTGTTCCTAGCCAACATCTTCCCAAATACATTGTTACCGCTGTCCATCTACGCGCTGGTCCGGGCGTTGGCCGCTATCGTTTTCGCCCCTCTTGTTGGACGGTACATCGATACAGGTTCACGTTTGAAGGTTGTTCGCGATTCAATTGTCTATCAACGCGGAGCTGTCGTGCTTTCCTGCGGCGTCTTTTATATCATGCTCTGGCAAAGGCCGTATCTCAACACGTGGAGTCTTTACGTACTCCTGGCTGTCACTATTGTCCTGGCTTGTGTTGAAAAGCTCTGTGCAATCATGAACACAGTGTCTGTCGAAAGAGATTGGGTCGTGGTCATTGCGGGCGACAACGAAGTAACCCTCCGAGCCCTCAATTCCCAAATGCGTCGTATCGATCTTTTCTGCAAACTCTGCAGTCCTCTGCTCACCGCCTCATTGGAGAGCTACAACACAAGAATTGCCATTGCCGTCATGGGCGCCGTCAATGCCATCTCGACCATCGCAGAATATGTCCTCATTGCAAGGGTATATGAGGCGTTCCCGAGTCTTGTGCGCGGTCATCCGTCTTCGACCCGGCCAGACGAATGCAGCGATGACCTGACACAAGCATCTGAGTCCGTCCCACGTGATCCTGTTAGGCTATCGTTGTGGCGAAATTTGAAGATATACATGTCTCAAGGTGCCTTCCTGCCTTCGCTCTCACTATCCATCCTGTACCTGACAGTATTGTCCTTCGGTGGACAAATGGTCACATATCTTCTGGCGAGCGGTTATACCTCAACAATGATTGCGCTGATCCGCTTGATATCAACTGGGTGTGAAATGTCGGCTACCTGGATGGCGCCAACAGCCATGGCTTGGATTGGGCCGATCAGATCCGGCCTTTGGTTTCTCAACCTCCAAATGGCCTGTCTCGCAGTCGGCCTTGGTTTCTTCTGGATAGCGGCGTCGCCGATTTGGGCCGCCTCTGGACTTCTTGGAGGCACAATCTTCAGCCGCATTGGCCTCTGGGGTTTTGAGCTCTCGACACAAGTGATCATCCAAGAACAGGTCGAACCAGAATATCGTGGGGCTTTTTCGACAACCGAGTCCTCCCTTCAGAATATCTTTGAACTCTGCGCATACGCGTCGACCATTATATTTCCTCAGCCGTCCAACTTCAAATGGCCTGCCACTGTGTCCGTTGCGGCCGTCTACACTGCTGGAGCCCTGTACGCCAGCTTTGTGAGGCGTAGACGCGGGCATTTGGTGCACGTTTCAAAATGCCTAGAAGGAAGGAAACATTCGAACCTAGAATTGGGAAGGGTCTACCAACATCGCAGATCAGATTTGGGATAGTTCCTTGGATGAACCAGCAAGTAGATGGGTATTCACATTTGTCGTATCCAGTAGCGGTCGGTACAGGCAATCCAAATACATCTCTATTGCGACCAATCAGAGAATCCACGCACTTTACGGCGACATTAATTTATCTCGGTGCCACCAGGGGATTAGGGATTCTGCCTGAAACAACGTCTCGGATTCGCGTGTCGGCCTTCTTGTGCGATTCAGCCTATTCCTGTAGCGACAGGTCCGAGTCGCTGCGTCCGATTATTTATGTACCTGGTAAGTAATGATATGCGCCTGTGCTAGGTAAGAACGCCTAGCCGGTCACCCTTAGCAGGCCAAACTCATACTGGAAACGTTCGTCGCAATTAGGGTCGAAAAGGCGACGATATGGCATGGACAGAGTCGTCTTCCACCTTCTCACTCCAATCTTTTTTTTTTCGTTACCGCAGATGACGGCTCTTTTATCACGCTCTCTCCGGTACGCACCCGTAGAGGCAGCCCTACACGGTACCTACTTAGGGACCAATTTGCCTTGCTAAGGTACAAATTTATCAAGGCTGAACTGCCAAGATCAAATTGAATAGCGGTCCCTGGACGAGCAGCCATGGAAAAGCCAGGACTGCCACCCAGCCGAGGGCGCGCGTCTCCTAGAGAATCATCAGTCGTGGCCTCATCCTCTGCGGAAAGACCAGATGCCGTGCCAGTGACAGCTGAAAATGCTTTGGCTGGAGTCCTACAATCGATGAGCCTGGCACAGCAAGAGATAGCTTCTGGCAATCTGACAACAGACCAGGAAATCGCGTCCCGGACAGCACCCCCTCGCGTTGCAGAAATGCTCTTTGGAGCAACCCAAGATCCAACCCACCCCTCCAAAGCTATTCAGCATTATCAAGAAATCATTCGACTTCTCAAGACGCCGTGTCTGAAGCAGACAAAGTTTCTGGACAGACTGGCATATGTCGAGATGACGAGCTTTAGTGCATCCAAGTCAGTGAAAGTACTTGATAAATCTATAACTCACTTAAAGCAAGCAAGGGACCAGGCTTTGCCGGCGAATGATTCCCCTCTGCACAATCTACCACAATCTGGGATACAGCATCTCACACAGAGCACAATTAACCAACAATCCAACGGATCTTGACGAGGCCATTTCCTGTGGCCGAGAAATCCCGAAACTTGCGCATGCAGACAGCCAGGAATACCACGAAACTACAGTCAATCTCGGCGCTCGTCTACATGCTCGATATATTTGAGAGCACACCAAGGATATCAACCACCGCGACAGTGCCATCGCCGGCTTCGTGGCTGGATTGACGTCACTTGGGATGACTCATGAGCGCCGACCTGATGTTCTCCTCCAACTATCACGTCTACACCACCAGAGGTACAAGCAGAGTGGCGACAAAGCGGACTTAGACGCTGCTCTAGGGCACTCACGGGAGAGACTTCACTCAATACCTTCTATGTATCAAATTCGACCCGACCATGTCTCAGATTTCTTATCTCGTCTTGCCGAGGATGTCTACATAGCTGAGTCTATGGACATCGTGGAATCAGCCCTCGAGGAAGCTCGCCTGCTCCATGATGAAGTACCGAAGTCGCTTACAAAGCGCCACTGTTGCAATCTGTCGCTCGTTGGTATACTGTCCAAAAAAAAATACCTCATTTCTCATGATATCAAGCATCTGAGAGATCTCGTTTCGTTCGTCACTGTCAGCGTTGGCGAATGGAACGAAAAACTTGACATTACTCGTCCAAAATTTCCTTCTGCAGACTTGTTCAATCTTTCTTCATGCCTTGAGACAATCGAGCGTGCTGCAGTAGAAAGCCCACTTAGGCAACAGGCTCTCGCGCGACTCATTCAGTGGCACATCCCCATCCACCAATCTCGGAGACCATTTGAAGGCCTGATGGTCATGTACCGCGAGCATGGGCACGAACTTGAAAGTTTGTGCGGGCACCTGGCCTCTGTTCATACGTTGTCACAGGAACAAATTGATGCGGACATCGACATGCTGAGGAAACAGGAAGCGATAAGTTCAAAGGTGGACCAAGAACCTCAAGCTTGAATAGGATGATTATACCGATTCTTTTCTTGGACACAGAAAGCTGGCGATTTACGCTCATCACAAGCGAATCATATTTTCCGCAGAAGGTCTAGTTACGAGTGTTTTGGGCTATACGGATGATGAAGAGCCGAAATCGTGGGCGAATTTTGAGGCCTCTAGAAGCGCGACTTGAAGACGAGAGCTTCGCAAAAGAGCAACCGGAAGGGAAATCTCCCAATCCCAACATGTGCCGCGTCTGTAGGCATGTCAAATTACTGAAACCTATGGATGGTGGCGGCTTCACCTGGGACAGCAACAAGTTCTCCCCCTTCGGGACATATTCCCAACTTCTTACCAGAAACCACTGCTCGATTTGTCGCTTGATTCTGTCGCTCGATACAGTGGACGGAGGGCACACCCTGCATCCGCGCCTCGCGCAGATTGATCGTGAAATACAGGGCACACAGTTCCATGCACAACTCTTACCTTCTGGGGAGGTCATGCTGGGGGTCGAGTATGGCATGACAACCGTCGGAGCACTGCGATTGCTCACACCAGACAATTTATCCGATGCCCTGAGACAGCCCTGTCCACGCCTTGCGCTTGGGACTCTGTTCCTGAACATTTACAACAAGCGGTATCCACACTTGCTCGAGGGGGATCAGAGAGTCGACTTTGGAAAGATCCGCAGCTGGCTCTATGAATGTAACGGCATTCATGGAGAACTCTGCAACAGCCTGGGCAACACCCAGAGGTACGCCAGCGAGATCCCGCCAATCCTTATCGATGTCCAGGACAATTGTTTGGTCCAAGCAGCATCTGCGGAGAAGTATTTTACTCTGAGCTCTGTCTGGGGCAAGGTCAAGATTTCCCAAACGATCAATGCTAATATCCAAGATCACTTTCAGAAGTCAAGCATGGACCCCTCACAATATCCCAATACCAATACGAGACGCTACGATATTAGTCCGATCCCTTGGTGAGCGATATTTATGGACAGAGGCGCTTTGTATTATCCAGGACGATGCAATGATGAAGGAATGAGATATAGAACGAACAGATATTGTGTGCAAAAAGGCAATCGCCAATATTGTTGTTCTTGCAGGGCATAATGCCAATTCTGGCTTGCCAGGGGTGTCACCCAACTCGAGAGCATCACAGAGGGTCGAAGTGCTATCGATCTCTTGAGGGTCAAGTGACCTCGCCCTGCGAGAAGACCATGTTGCTGAAACGTATACTATCTATTTAGTTGCCACACCACAGCGTCTGGCTCATGCGCAAACAAGCTCGACATGGAATACGCGAGGAGGGAATTTGCAGGAGCAAACACTTGCTCGTCGAAACATATACTTCTCCCCCAGGTATGTGTACTTACAATGCTGCAAGGAGGTTGTCTCTGAGACAATGCTACAAGGTAGATATAACTGAAGGGGGTTTGAAAAGTGGAGGCGAGGATGATCCAGGTGAAGACGCCGACGAGAAACCAGCGTTTGCTATCAGAAACCCAATCACAGAAGTCGGTAAAATAGGTGATGTGTCTCCGCTAGAGAAATTACGACAAGTCTTCAGGGCTTATAGCGAGCTGGTGGAGGTCTATACTACTCGGGATCTGACGCAGCCAACTGACATTCTAGATGCCTTTCTCCGGCATGTTGTCGGCCTTCAAGGATGATTGCCAGAGTGAGACGTGTTATGGTCTGCCCATTGCCGCATTTGATCTTGGGATCTTGTGGTCTCCCACGGCGTCATTGCAGAGGAGACCTGGAAAGGCATCTACAACCTCTTCCTCTCCATCTAAGGTTTCGCCATCGACACGTTCTACGCACAGCGCAGCCACGCAGGATTTTCCGACATGGTCCTGGGCAGGTTGGGTCGGCGCCTCCGACTACCGTCTCCTGCCACTGGACAAAGAACCACCTCCTGACTGGCTGGCTGGCGAGTTTTTTGTAATTCGTGAGGGAGAGATACTGCGAGTGCAAGGGCAGACGAAGCAAGACCTCGAATCTCTGCGTACACTGAACCGATCAAGTCATAATCGCCATCTCTCGGAGCAGGAATGCCTATGCGGAACGCGAAGGCCTGACCAGGGTCGAAGGTGATGTCAGGCGGTTTGATGCCTACGAGTTCCGCGCTCAGGGCCCAGTAGTGGTTTGGTGAACGTGTTGGTGCTGCGGCCCGATATTGATGTGTTTGAGAGGATCGCCGTGGGCCAGATCCATAGCAAGGCCTGGGAGGAGGCTGGACCACGCAGGTTGTGGGATTAAACTTGGCTGAGAGGAATATTTCAAATATAGCGTCTCGCAGTTTCTAGCTCTTCGATCCGCCATGCCTGTTTCCTGCAGGCGGTGCCAATCCAGAATACAGGCCCCAGGGGAACTCTTGAATCTACCTTCCAGTTAACAGATGCCCGCACGTCGGTACTTGTTGATTTCAACACTGCGGAGATCTCAGGCCCCACCTCTTGGCCACAATATCCAGCAATACACGCTCCGGAGGGCGATGCTTCGAAAGGTCACCGTTGTCACAGATATTACTCTAATCGAAAACTATCATCGGTCCATGTCGACCCTGTCTAGGAACCCGAGAGGCATGAGCAATCGCACTGGACATGTCTTTCATGAATCCCCCTTAAGAATGGAGGGATGGACGAGAGCCGCGATACATCAGATGATGCAGCCACCAGGGATTTTGCACAACCTTGATCCGAGGTATCCCACTTGCCTCGATCGGCGAGACGGTAAGAACTAGTATAAAAGGCTCGAGGCCCCCGATGTTCTCACTCAGATAGACCCAGCTCCCCCTGTTTTCCTTCCCACCCTTTCTACTCTTTCTGAAAACCCGCTACTTTGACCTAGGTTCAGGGGCATACACTACCTACAAGATGGCAGGCTATGACATTATCCCTCAAAATGCCGAGGTCAAATTGGATACATTCACCCTGTCAATTCCCGACCAGCAACTCTTTGATTTCAAAGACCTATTGCGACTGTCCAAGCTAGCCCCACGCACATATGAGAACACGCACACTGATGACGGAAAGTTCGGTGTCAGTTATGACTGGATGAAAAAAGCGAAAGAATACTGGCTGAACGAATATGACTGGTATGTTTTGATTCTTCGGGATGGGCGACAACAACAGTCAAGATCTTAAGCCCTTGAAAACAGGCGTGCTGTCGAAAAGTACAACAACTCATTTCCAAACTTCATCGCCCATATCAAGGACGACGACGGAGAGGATTTCCGCGTCCATTTTATCGGTCTCTTTTCCAAGAAACAAAATGCCGTCCCTCTCCTTTACATGCATGGCTGGCCTGGTAGCCATTTTGAATTTCTCGACATCATGGACCTGTATCGCAAGAAATACTCACCAGAGGAGCTGCCCTACCACATCATTGCACCCTCTCTGCCGGGGTGGACCCTCAGCTCCGGTCCACCCCTGACCAGGAACTTCGATACCGAAGATATTGCTCGCATCATGAATAAGTTGATGGTTGGTCTGGGCTTCGGGAGTGGTTATATCTGCCAGGGCGGCGACATTGGTTCTTTCACGGCCAAGGTCATGGCAGGAACCTATGATGAGTGCAAAGGTGCGCTGAACCAGTCCGATCAAAGCCAAACAAATACTATAGTGTGTATCTGACGCAGTCATCTTTTACAGGTGTTCATTGTGAGTATCTTCCATCCAGTCCCGTCATCCCCCAACTGAGGAATGTCCAGACAATTTTGCCGTGTCCAGCGAACCACCGAAAGGCGTTGACGAGAGCCAAATCACCGAAGCCGAGAAAGAAGCCATGGAGACCCGAATGAAGGCATTCTACACGACGGGGAATGCATATGCTCGAGAACACGGCACCAGACCAGCGACAATCGGGTTTGTGCTCGCTTCCAGCCCACTTGCTCAGCTAGCATGGTAAGAAATCCTAAATATAGCCCTTGAAGAAGGAACGCCCAACGCCGGCGTCTATGCGGAAATGGCGGCTAAGTAATTGAAATCGCAAACCTGACAGGATTGGCGAGAAATTCATCGAGTGGACCGACGAAACGCCGCCTCTCAAGAACATACTGGATTCCATCACCTTGTACTGGTTCACCGAATCCTTCCCACGTTGCATCTATTGCTACCGCGAGGTATGAAGATATCCCAAATGTTCTTCTGCTGTTAACGGGGCTATGATGTATATACTGACTCGTCAAAACAGTTTTCTGTTCCAGGTGGCCGCGGCCTCCCGCACGGAAATCCAAAGTACAAAAACGACAAACCGGTCGCATACTCGTGGTTCCCGAAGGAGCTTGCACCGGTGCCGAGAGCGTGGGTGCTCGCGCAGGGCCACAACCTTGTGCTCTTCAGACAGCACGAGTCGGTGAGTTTTGCCTCCTTTGCAGGCCATCTTTTCTCCCTCCCTTTTTCGCCCCCCTCCCCCCTTCCGTACCCCTCTGCTCAAGTGGAGATGTGTTTCTCAACGTGGGTTATATAAATATCGGAAGGATATTTCAATCTGTCAGAGTTTGCACGCATGGCATCCATCTACCCTTCCATCCATCCATCCATCCATCCATCCATCCATCCATACATACATACACACACGCGAGTACATATGGCAGAGGGCTAACGCGAGTTTGACAACAAATATACAGGGTGGCCACTTCGCGGCAATGGAAAAGCCAAAGGAAATGCTGCAGGACATGGAGGAGTTTATCGAGAAGATCGGATGGCCCGTCAAGTGAGAAGACGCGCTCGAGACGTTTTTGCGCGTGCGCGAGATGTGGTGCCCTCGAAAATTCACAATGCCTCTACGTATACCTAGGTAGTTCAAGCTCAGGCAGAAGGGGGAACGAGAAATACCATTTATAATGCCGTGGGCCAATCCATCAACGGGACACCTTTCTTCGTACCAGTGGACCGGGCCGACCGGGTACAGGTACGGGTATTGGACGAACGGAAATGTCTCCCAGGAGAGAGTGACATGGCTTAGAAGCATATAACAAACGAAGCTGCTGTTGTCTAAAACACCAAGGTTGACTCCACAATTTCGTTCCGAACTGAAGGACTTGGACACGTATATACATATATATACATTGTGCCTCCTTTGGGATGAGCCAGAAACGGAACATGCACATAATCGTCGCCGCCATTGTCGTCGTCTTCGTAATGATTCAATTCAGAACCTCTCGTACTGTGCCATGCCGCGTCGTCTCATCTCAATCCTTCTCCCATTGTGCATCCCACTAAAGTCATATGCAGCTGCCATCTCTTCTTCGGAGGGCATCTTGACGATTATAAGATATAGGACATCCTTTTTGAAAGCGGGTTGGAGGTAGCTTGAGATCGTATGGGGGAACCTCTCTCTCTCTCTCTCTCTCTCTCTCTCCCTCTCTCTCTCCCTCTCTCTCTCTCTGTGTGTGTGTGTGTGTCCCTCGTATGGACAACTTCTCGCCCCGGGCAAAAAAGGAAACTCACGATCCAACTCACCTTGCTGAGGATCTGCTAGATGGCGTCCTGGCCGCTTCCAAACCCGTACCCACCCAGGACCGCGCCGACGAGGCTTTCCAACGCAATTTCTGGTCCTGACCTTCCGCCGAAGCCTCCCATGCGCGCACCCTAGTTGCAGACTTGTAGTATGCCATACCCAATTCCCATACCGGTTCCAAGTTCGATGGGCCCGCCGCGTCGCTGTTCATAGCCGGTTCACTCCATTAGGACTGGTTCTCGAGCCACCACACTGTTGAGGTGGCGGTTGTCGATGACCGACCTGCTGCTGCAGTTCCCGTATCATGTGATATTGGTCCTGGCCGTATCCCATCCCAGCATACCCGCCCATCATCTTCGTCACATGTTCTGCCGCACCTTCACTTCACTACAACACCTAACTAGAACCCACCCGTCAGTTTGTAAAGAATATGTTTTTCGACCACCAAATATTTTCCAACAATTGATCGGATCCTACCTGCATCAAACAACCTGACCATAAATCCAAGAGTTGGGTTGCCACAACGCAGGCTCAAAGTACCACTCTGGTTACTCCAGGAAGTTGATCAGGTAACCCATCATTGTTACCACCACACCACACAACAAAGAAGGCTCAGTTTAGCGAGAGACAGGGGAGGGTGAATATGGGATTGAGCGCTCAGGAGGAAGAAAGAGGAGGGGGTTTGAGCAGGAGGGGTCCGCGATGAGAGGGGAGAAGGGCTTTCGAGTCCGGGAGTCGGCAACCAAAAAAAAAAACATCCTTCGCGGGGTTTTCTCACAAGTTTGAGTTTTTTGCTCTTTTACCGGGTGGTCCTGAAGGGGGTTCGAGCCTGGGATTCATCAGAAATAACATCGCAATGGTTTTGTCCACCACCCGTGGGCAAGTGCCAAGAGATGAGATCGCAGTTGCTCGCTAGGTGGTTGGGGACGGCGGCCTCTATGCCTAGATCACCTCACCATCGGGTCCGTGTTCCGTCAATGTAGTCTGTGGGCGTCACTTGCAGAGGATGCCTGTGCACGAACGCATCAGTGATCCGGGAAGGACTGATCTAGTCCCGCTTAGAAATGGGCTCTTCTGCGCGCAAGGCGTCTAGGCTATTGGATTTGACGCTCAAGAGCTCGTCTTGAGCCTCGTCAAGATTCCAATGCTCTTCGTCTCCTCCTTCAAGAACCCCGTTTGGTGCATTAGTTTCTCCCATGGCATTCGAGTGAATCTCTTTGACATTAACCTCTGTCAGATGGGCCTTGGCCTCCATTCTCTCTTTGCGATCGTGGGACGTCTTCTGATACTAGGCCGATGCAGGAGCGAGCCTTTCACGGCATATCGCAATATGATGTCGGCCATGTTTGGGGGATTGTTGACATTCCCCACCATTGTTGTCAAAGATATCAGTGAGGAGGAAGTGAGCACCGCAAGATTGCTTGATAGACCCCAGGGGAACATAACCGTGCAGGAACGCAGAAGGTCGAGAGGGGTTCGTCGGCCAATTCGTTCGATCGGCAAGAGGGACGGCTCAGGGAAGGCAATCCACTGTGTCCTTATATTTCACGGTGTAGAAAGGCTTACCATCCTCGGTGTGTTGAGCTTATCTTGCCCAAGCCTGTCCGCGGGAAGGCCGCAAATAGCATTCAAGTATTATACTCGGTGGCTGCTGCGAGCATTACAGAGCTCCCTTCTCCAATTGTGGAGCTATTCTGGACAACGTCATATTCAATGCCGTTATGTTGTATAGGCAGAAACGGGAACGGGAAGGACCAGGCAAGGATCTGAGCAGGAAGCAGCTATAGGACAGCAGCGCGTTCGCTGTATATGTAATGCGGCGATATATATTGGGTAACTACTGAGGGGCGACGTCTTCAGCTTTCTGTAGGCGTTCGTAATGCCAAGCCACTAAACGCCCAACAGTGCACCAAGAAATCCCCCTACGCCCAGGTACTGTAACCCCAGTTATCTCAGTTGCCCCCAGCTTGCCCAGCTGATGTACCCAGCTAACTTCAATACGTCTCCGCCCGTATGTGCGCACGTCCACCCATGGAAGCGGACGACTGCCTGATCGGACCCTGTTTATTAAGCTCTTCGAGTACCCAGTACTGGGTACAACTCATTCAAATATTGCGCACATGTTCTGATATCATCCATGTCAACTGAGTATTTAGTTCGTTGAGCATGTAGCGATCACAAGACCCCACGAAAAGCGACAACGAATCGACTGACGGAGAGTTCTTCTCCCCCTCCAACCGGAACCTCTCTCTCCAGCGTCGATACAACCAGTGCAACCGAGATCTTCAGAGGTTACTGACTGTTGCCTTCCTTTGCTCCGACCAGGAGTGAGATGATATGGATGACCTGAAAAATGAGACTAAGGAAGCCCTCAGCGACGCGGCGAGATGAACCAGAGGCTAAATGGTGGCACCAGATAAAGTCGACCTTTGAAAGATACTCCGGAACCCCACCATCGACCCTCCGCTATTGCTCTTCAGCTACTCAGGCATCCGCGAACGTGCGCCCAAACTAGCCAGCCTGATAGCAGAACGTGAAGGATCCCATGCAATGGCCTAACAAAACGCGCACTGCTCATCCAGAATCAGGGAAGCCTTCACGTCTTCCCAGATCTCGGCGCAAGGTGCTTCGCATTCACTTTCAAGCCAGAGAAATCTGGCCAGTCTCTCCTCCACGGTCATCCGCAAGGATTCCCTGTAGTCGACTTCTTGACCTATCATTTCGGCGCGCACATGTTGAACCAAGAAGTCAACAAACCAGTCGTAAAGGGTTGTGCTTCTTACGGACCAAGCCGTCATTATGGCGACCCACAGGAAAAAGGAATGATAGGTTGAGTCCTGGTGCAGATGCAATTCCGTAGTTGCACATTGCAGACATCGTTTGATGCGCCGGGCATATGGTATGGTCACATCTATGTTGTCATGCAAGTTCGGCAGAAGCACCGTGATCTGGAAGATAAAGGCACACAGCCGACAGATTTCATACAGTGCGAGTGCTCGATGCGTTTTCAAACTGGTTGGTGAATCAGGGTAGGCCAAGCTTGATGAGAACAGTTCCTCCGATAAGTCGGGCAAGGTCAATAGCTCGTGTTGATTCAAGTTTCGTGCAAAGATGATCATCTTGATGGGGGGAGCTTCACCATCGCCCCGCTGATAGCTGTCGAAAGCAACAATCAGATCGCGAATGACGTTCAAGACTTTAAGCAACTCGATAGCTGTAGGCAAGCCCAAGTCCGTTAAGAAGTAGAACCCGGTAGCTAGGTTGAGGCATCTCTGAAATGCTGGACTTCTAGGTTGGCTTGTGAGCCAGGTGCCGATAACTGGCGAGGATGGCATAAATAGAGGAAACGATGGTTTTGTTTGAAACATGATGGATGTATGGATATCGAAGCTGCAGTCGCTGTCAGTGGATGGCACCTTGACTTCTCCAATCGTATGCTTACGAAGCAAGAGCAAAGGCAAGGCCAGGAAGGCGGATCGTATGCAGTCCGCCTTTCATCTTGATGATTTCGATCACAGCCTTCATGTGTTGCCACTCATATTCCATGCTGGCGTAGAACTGGCCGTCTTGCTCGGCTGACATTGTCCTTCTCTCACGCTTCTCTACGGCGCTGACATTCTCTCCATGTCCGACAATCGCCAGTAAAGCCATAGCAAAGATGACTTCATCGGTCAACGCTGTCGCCTGAGACTGCAGGGCCGACCTGAGCGACTTGATCGCTTCCACCTTGCTTGTCAAGCGTAACACCGCGCTCTTTGAATTGTCCACGGTTGGAGACTGGTGAAAAGCTTTGTGAGCAGCACCGGAGTAGACGAGGGTATGAAAGCACAACGGAGAGCGAATCGCAGTGTCCATGACCGACTTCTTCGCCATGAGCAGGGATTCGGGCCTGTCATCTGCGGCAAAGAGAGACCACTGGCATGAGATGGCTGAGAATGACAATTAGATTTATTTTGACTATGGGACCAAAAATTGGGCTAAAATGGACTCAATATCATATTTGGCGTAAGCAGTGATAATGGGAATGTGCACGGAAATTTGAAAGAAGAATAGACTGACCATGATCAAGCATTTCATGAACCATCAAAGGCTGATCGGGGGTGCAATAGGCGTTGAATGGGTCGACCCTGCCTGCCCCTAGAACCGTGCTTGGCTCAGGAATCGGTCTTCCGGACCTGAGACCGCCATCGCTGCTCGATGCAAGAGATAATTTTGAGTCGGCCTTCGCGGCTGGATCCTTCTTGCCCCTACCCGCAGACAATTGTCGGGCGCGAAGGGCAGACTTTCTAAGGGACTTCACCTTGCGATGATAGACCCTAGCGGCATGCTGTTGTGGGGATTCCTCTGCTGTCTCGTCGACGTCGTGAGAATCTTTCGAAGGGTTATACGGTAGGAAAAGGAGGCGCATATTGTTCTCACGCCGAATAAGGTTGAATGTGCCTCAGTTCCCGCTCTGACATATCAAGCTGACAAGGTCTGACACTCTCTGGAAGACACGAAGCTGACGGCAATTGAAGCTCCAAAGCACCACCACTACCGCCGTTTATCCCCAGATCTGATTATCCGAGTCTAGACCCGGCCGAAAATGGTGGATGTCAATTGGTGTTGTGGAAGCGATCTTCCACACATATGTTTCCGCGCACTCAAACCTCCGATCAAGTCGCCCATGAGTTCGAGCCGCCGTCATGAGATCTGGGCGTCTGAGCATCTCGGCAAAAGAGATTCCTGGGCTCAAATATACGTGAATGGGCAGCATCCAAAACGTGGCTGGCTGAGAAAACTGGCAACAACCTAACTGGGACTAACCCAGACTCACGCGCGCTATTCCAAAAATAGATCAGGTCTTGGCATATGTCTTGGCATATCTGTCTCCTTTAGCTTCCCAAAACTTGTGGCCACAGGACAGAGCAAGTTGAAAGCCAATCACATGAAGATGACCTCAAGCTTGGAGGGTCTCAACAGACGACCGGATCTTGTCGGGTCTTCTAAAGGGTAAGGAAGCAATGGTTCTACCTGGATCCAGCACTGACGCGGGCGAAGAGCTAAGAGTCAGCAAACTCCTCGGCCAGCACCTACCAAGCTCTTCCTGCCGCCAAACATCGCCTTCTATGTATGCTTTGCTTCACACCTCCTAGCAGCGCTGTATGCTCCAATACAGGACTGCGATGAGACCTTCAACTACTGGGAACCACTTCATTACCTAAACCATGGTTACGGCCTCCAGACATGGGAGTATTCCCCAGAATTCAGCATTCGGAGCTGGGCATATATTGGCCTACACGCCCTCCCAGCCAAAGTCGCGGGCCTCTTTGGCAGGTCAAAGATGTTTGAGTTTTATGCCTTGCGTATCGTGCTGGCATTTACCTGTGCGGCAACTGAGGTCCGTCTTTATTCGGCCATATCTCGAGTCGTCAATCCGAGAGTCGGAGTGATATACCTCATGATTGTTGCCTTCACTCCGGGGTTTTTCTACGCCTCTTCTGCATTCCTGCCATCTAGCTTTGCCATGTACACGGCTGCTTTGGGACTGACATCTTTCATGGATTGGCACGGAAGCTCAAAAACTGCCACAGGCATCACGTGGTTTGGAGTCGGTGCTCTGCTCGGATGGCCGTTCTCAGGGGCTCTAATTGTCCCATTCGTTGTCGAGGAATGGCTCATGGCAGTGGTAGGGCAAACAGATCTTTTGGAGACCTTTTCACGGTACCTGTACGGTGGCGTGCGCTGCTTAATTGTTCTGGTTCTTCAGATCTGTGTCGACACTTTCTTTTACCACAAAATCGCGGTGGTGCCTTGGCGTATCGTCGCTTACAATGTCTTCAGCGGCAAAGATCGCGGTCCCGATATATTTGGGACGGAGCCATGGAACTACTACCTGAGGAATTTGCTGCTTAACTTCAATATGTGGTTTATCCTTGCAGGGATTTCAGGACCACTCGTCCTGTTCCAGTCCATCGTCCTAGGCCAGTATCCCACCAAACAAACCCTTCTCAGGACTCTTACCTTCCTCTCTCCGTTCTATCTATGGCTGGCCATTTTCACCGTCCAACCCCACAAGGAGGAACGATTCATGTTCCCTGCTTACCCTTTCCTGGCCTTGAATGCAGCGATAGCATTTCACTCTCTGCTGACATGGATCGGTTCGACCGATTCGTTCATCTTTGGAAAAATCCCGGCAAAATTAAAACTGGCCGCCATTTTACCCATTGCACTCTTAGCCATCAATGTTGGGCTGCTGCGTATCGTTGGTACGGTGACCGCGTACAGAGCACCATTGCAGATATACGACACGCTCAACGCATCCAATCTGACGCGAGTTGACAATATAGTCTGCTTCGGCAAGGACTGGTACCGATTCCCATCCTCCCACTTTCTCCCAGACAATATCCACGCGAAATTCATCAAGAGCGAGTTCGATGGGCTCTTGCCCGGCGAGTTTCACGAGGGTAAGACTGGGTTTGGACTCTTTCCGGGAACCTGGTTAATACCGCCTGGGATGAACGATCGGAACGAAGAAGATCCTGGAAAATATGTTGATGTCCAGCACTGCACGTTCTTGGTCGACTCCTACATGCCCGGCATGGAGGCCACTAAGCACGAACCACTTTATATCCTGGACAAGGACCATTGGGATAAGATCTCCTGCGTCCCATTCCTGGATGCTTCCAGAACTGGAACTCTTGCTAGGACGATTTGGATTCCCGATCTACCATTCCTGCCTCCCAGATATCGTCGACATTGGGGTGAACATTGCCTGCTGCGCCAAAGGAAGGTGTAATGAACAAGAGAATTTGTTCAGGAGTGCCGGCAGTTCTCGAAACTGGAGAGTATTTAGCTGGGAGAATCCTGTCCAGGCAACCCCGTGCCCCCGCGCCCATGTCCGATACCCGGAAGCTACAATGTCGCGGTGGCTTGCCCCATTCCACGCACTGCCCTGGGGGGGGAAATGCGCCATCCCCGAAAAGGCATTTTTGTCCAGCCCAGACAACGGCGAACTGATTGGGCGAGACCAACCACAGGCTTGACACCAAAGTCGATGATAAGAATCCGAGTGGGCGGCAAGGTGCCCATGCGATAAGAGTATCGCACGTTTTGAGATCTGGCGCTGTCCGGAGGCGTGGGCTGGGGAGCTTCTGGTGGCCTCTCGGCGGATCAGCACGTCGAATGCAGACATTGATTCCATTTCTCTAGAAGTTCATATACCTTTCGGGCGTTGGGGTTTTGTTTCTCTTTATTCCCCTTGCTTCTCCATACAGGGTGCTCTGGTGTACCCCGTCTCCTTCCCATCGCCACCATGGACTCAGAATCCCTGAGACAGAGATTCTCAGACCTTATTGCTCGGTCACAACCATACATTGAGCAAGCAAATGTCCGTATTCAACCCTACGTTAAACAAACCAACGACCATCTTCAGAAATCTAAACACCATTGCTCTTCGATTCTAAAGTCAGCTCAGTCGGACCTACAGAGATTGTCACAAAGGTCCCATTTCAAAGAAGTCCTCTATGGCCTGACTCTGTTTGTCTTCCTCGCCTTTGCTATCGGCCGGTACATCTCCTACCGGCGCGCCCGCTACCTCGCCCGCCCGTCTCGCCCATCAACACCGCCGACACCTCTACTCGAAAAGGCCACTTATAGCAAAGGCGCCAATGCAGCTCAGGCTCGCAAACCAGGTACATGGATCCCGTCCGGCTTCCAACGTCCCAAACCACCCGCATACGAAAATTGGTCCATCGAGCACACAAAACCTCTTCCTTACCGCCCGTTCCGCTACGGGCCCAAGTACTTCGTCACCATGGGCCTCCGTAACGTGAAGTGGGACGACTGGATCGAACTGGACAACCACTTCCCGCGGTTTCACGGTGACAAGACCAGGCGGATTCTGGAGCGCGGGCACAAGTGCTGCAAGACGGCGCCCGAAGCATATCCTGCGGCGTTAGAACTCCTCGAAGAATTCCGCGCGTACTTGCCAGACCGGTACCCGACGCTGTACCAGCGCACGGAAAAGGGGATCAAGAACCTGTGGTCGGGCGAGGAGCTCGACACGACGTCGCGGCCGCTGCCAGAAGACCCGATGCAGACGGCGGCGCGGATGGTGCAGGACGACCTGGCTATCATGATCGAGGGGGCAGACGGACAGTACTACCTGCTCGCGGGGGCGATCCTGCTGCCGGGCTTCTGGCGGCTGGAGGACAAGTACGGGATGCCCCTGTCACAGATCCACACGAGCGGCGACGTGCCGCAGTTCAAGGAGAAGCTGGAGAAGGGGATGATGAACTTTTTCCGCCGTCTCAAGCCCGAGGAGCTGGTGGCACGCAACAACTACTTCTTGCAAGTCGACGACGATTTGGCGTGGTCAAACTCGATCGGCAATGAGGACAATCCAAACATCAGCTGGAACACGGCCGAGAAGGACCGCGCCATCGAGCACCACTTCTTCCGCTCCGAGCGCCAGACCCTGCGCCGCCTGCCCCGCTCTGGCGGCGTGGTGTTTACCATCCGCACGTACTTCCACCCCGTCAGCGAGATCGTCGCCGAGGATTACGTGCCCGGCCGCCTGGCCAGCGCCGTCCGCAGTTGGGGCGACGACGTGTCCCGCTACAAGGGCAAGGAAAAGTATGGGGCCGTCCTGCTCGAGTATCTCGACAAGAAGCACCAGGAGCAGTTGGATAGAGGGCTAAAGTTGGACGAGGAGGACGAGAAGAGGAGTTATCCCTGGTGATGGGACATGACAAGCTAAGACGCTATTCTTGGTTGTATACGGAGTATATACATGTATGTATCTCTCGAGCGGTGGCTCCTACTTGCTTATAAAAGGAATTACGCCGAACTTGAATGTCATCAAAAATATTTCTCGGATACAGGTAGTCTGGTCCTGTTTGGGCATCTGGACAACTATTAACTGGCTTCGCCAGAGTCTCGGCAGAATGTGGATAATATAGCCTCTTCACAAGATTTTATTCTCTCGTTGATTTTGCTTATCCCCTCATGAGGAATGAGATCCTGTCAGGGCGACCGTTGGAAGACGTGCTCAACAACATCCACCGCGTTGTATGTCTCGCAATTGCTGGGATATATTACGCGTCATCACGATATACTCGGGATTCTCGCGTCATTGTCATTGCCAATTAGACTCGACTTCTCCTGCCACCCACTCTTCCCTCGCCTACGTCTTCCTGATCCTCAAGCTCCTCCTTCAGCCTCCGCTCCCTCGCTTCGCGTACCGTGTTCTCGTCTCTCTCTTTGATCCACGCGCACTCGTCGCGGAACTCACAGATGCGACACTTCCACGCATCAGTGACCTCCACGCCGCGCGGCTTCCGCTCGCCCTTCCAGAATGCTAAAGAGGAGTAGAGGGAGGACGTGAAGAAAGAAGGGTTGAAGAGGACGGATTTGCTTCCCAGGATCTGCGACTGAGCTTCTGCGGTGCCATTTGAGTTGCTAAAGTGCTTGTAGTTGCTGGAGATGTAACGTGCTGTGAGGACAGGAGAGAGCCGTGTTGGTTGTGAGGGCGGCGTAGGCAGGGCAGACAGAGTGGAGGGCGGTGAAATATTAGGATCTTGGTTCTGGTCGAGGGAATTGATTGTATGCGGAGTAGACGCTGACGTTGAACTAGAAGAGATGATGAAGGTCAATCGAAACTGCTCCATCATGAAATCCCACAGGCTGGCCAGGGTGTTGTGCTGAAGGAGAACATCCATCGAATCTTGCGTCGACGGCGGCAGATCCTGCCTGACATCGTCACTTTGTTGTGATAATTCAAACACGTCCTGATTCAACCCCCCAATCTGCGCGATGAACGTGTCCGAGAATGTCTCGTGGACGTCAAACTTGTACCTCTCCGCAAGCTGGGAGAGGGAGAATTTTCCCAGGGCCATATTTTCCAGCATGTGGTGGTAGAGATGGAGTTGGACCAAGGTAGGACGAATGGCCGATCCTGTCGGTAGAGTGGGAGTGCCTCGTGTCTTCACGTCGGTGATGTAGATTCGCCTCCCATCCTCTTTCTCTGACTTCCTCGTCCTCCACGCGGGAGCCTTGCTACTGGTCTCTTTGTCAATATCGCCATTGCCACGCTTCAGAGCCTGCGACAGCGACTGGCCCTGGTCTCGAGTTTCGTTCGTCACCAGGTAGTCCCTAATGCTGGCCTGATATTCTGGCAGTGGAGGCTCGACGTCCTTCTGCTCCAGCAGATTCCGACTCATTTCCTCAAGCTTGGGGTCAGGACACTCGTAGCTCAACTCATCAATGACCCCGTTTACCAGCTCTCCACCAATTGATCCCCAAATCTCCAACTCTCTCGTCTTGCCCGTCCGTCTGAGCGTTTTCAGTCCCTGGATGATATTCCAGATTCGAAGTCCCCAACTATCTTCTCTCTTGATGGTCTCTACGGGAACAGTGACGTGTATCTCATCTTCCAATGCCTGGTGGACTGCACTGCCTTGTTTCATTGTGGGTGTCCTCCTTTTCCGGCCATGTTTGGTCAAGACGTAGTAATATTGTAACTCGCACCATGCGGGGGAGATGAGATCGGTGACGGAGAGGGCTTTCATAGGAGGTTTGCGAAACCGTTCCAGGAGAGATCGAGTGTCAGGTTCGAGGGGTTGCTGCTCCTGCTGAGCATCTTGTTTGGTCTGCACGGTTGGTGGAGATTTCTCTCTTTCTGGCCTTACATCTTCTTCATTTCCAGATGCTCGTCTCTGCTCGGCTGGGCGCTGGTCAGCTTGTCAGCGAGACAAAGCATTGGGAAGGGCGTTGCACAGAACTTACGCCTTTGCTCACAAATGTTCTGGAGGAACTGGGCCTGAACGGACCGGGTCTCGAGCTTCCACTGACGCGTTGCCTCGAGACCAAATACCTTAGGCAGGCGAACGCCTCGAGGTTCTTCATAGTCTTCGATGTCTGTCAAAACCAGGGGCGCGTTTTTCTGTTCCTGTCCCGATTTGCCCGCGGCCTCAAGGAGGAGCTGGTCAATTATCTCGAGAGCCTCAGGGTCTTCCCCAAAGTCACTGTACTCGTCCGTGCCCTCATCTTCCGGCGGCCTTGTCACGGTCTGAGTGTTTACCACTTCAAATTGCATCAATACATTGTGGTCTTGGGTCGACATTGTTGGGGGTGGATGGTGGGCTGCTAGTGGTTTTGTAGCTGTCATGATTCAGTGAGCGTCCGCACCGACTCCGGAGAATATAAACGCAAAGGAAAACAATTGACCTGTCCATCTTCACGTTCAATCGTGACATGTATTTATATATTTTATACACCCCAAACTATACTTTATCCATTACTATTTTCGTTCAACAAAGGGAGCGAGGCCACTTTAATATGTCACGTGACTGAGCATCGAGGAGGCTCGGACGAGCACGGGAGAGCGTCGTGGGAGCCAACGCAGAGTACGGGGGACCGCGCCCGAGCACTGAGCGAGGCTATAGGGAGCGCTGCTTGATGAAGTCAGTTGGGGCTCAGGGATCCTCTTTGAGCCTCGGCTATAGTTGCCCAGCTTTAACCCCGTCATTTATTTTAGCTAAGCCTGCTGCCTGGTAACTTTCGATTCTCCGACAAGTATAGTATATATACATCGCACGTCACTGCTTCACGATACTATAACAAATCATAAGGACGACGATTTCTACGCTCGTACTCTCGCTAGATGCAATGGCAGTAACGAGTACAGTGACAGTGGCATTAGTTCAGATACGCCAGCATCTGTTAGCCAAACCCACGATGTCTTTACCGAATTTAAGGAGACCTTCGGCATAGCTAAGCGGAAGCAGAAGACGGTGGTTACGACTCCACGTGACTGCCCAGATCGTGACGTCACAGTAAGCTCTATCACACCCTGTTAGTTAGAAAGAGCCTTAGTTAGCTGCGGACGACGGCGTTGCGGATATAGAGCGGCTTATAGAAGTCGTAAGCAATGATATTAGCCGTAACTACTTATCAAAGGAAGAGATCGAGAATGGATTCACCTTTTAATCGAGATAAGAGAGCGATGAAGAGACAGAGACCGAGAATATTAGATCCCAGTGTATTTCTACATCGGCTAGCGACTGTCGCTCGGGTGAGTTCTATATCGGCGCTGTTAAGTCTTATTTTAGTTTTAATATATAGAATTAGAGAAAGTACTAGTGCCTTTATAGAATCTCCGCTATCGCCGCCTTCTATAGTGTTAAGATTCCTACTGGGGCCTAACTGGGTTAGGGTTCCTAGCAACAATCCTTAGATAGTATGAACTAATTAGGAAGAACACAAGGTATGAACAGTCTATGTCACTAAGAACTATATAGTCCAATAGTTAACATAAGTTGGCTACGGAGAGAGTGTAAGCCACGGAGGGGAGGTGGGCGTAGCTATATAGTCATGCCCTACACCATCTTACTTAGTCGCGCTTAGTCGTACTTAGCCGTGCTCGATCTAAGCGCACTGAGCCGCGCTGAGCGTTACTGAGCACGTCACGTACTTCAGCCTTACCTATTCTATGTCTATGAGCCCCACGCGGGCCGGCACACCTACCTTCCTTGTCCTCGTTCCTAGCCATAGAAAGGCTATGTCTAATACTATCCCCCTCCTAGATCTGTTCGTTGTCCTCAACGTACTTAAGGTAGACTGCGTCCCCTTGTTCTTCCTATGTTTTCCCTTTCTCATGGCTAATTATGCAGAGTTTTCGTGTTTCTAAAAGTGATCGTCCCTCTATCTCTCGCCGTCATACCGCCGTTATCTATATCCTTACCCTTGGTCGTCAGAAATTCGACATAGATCGTTGCACTCCGTGCCAGCGGTCGAATTCATTATGCTTCATACTAGAGAGCTACTCGAAGTGCTCCTCTTGCACCAAAAAGGGCGTTCGGGAGTGTAACGGGAATTTTTCTATAGAGGAGTTCAATGCGCTGACGGCCTAACGAAATCGTTTAGTCGAGGCCGCCCACCGGAAGGACGAGGAAATAAAAGGAATATTAGCGGAGGCCGCGCGGGTGTAGTTGGCTATGTCGGCGACGAATGCCGAGCGCGCCCGTCTCTAGTAAGAGACCGATATTTTATTAGAGAGACAAAAGAAAATATTAACTTAGGAGTTAAAGTCTTTAGACGAGTTAAATTACGTTGATCTCTCTTCTTAGGCTTCTTCTACTATCTCCGTGGCCTTAGATAACGTCTAACTAAAGTAGATATTTAGGCTAGCTCCCGGGTCGATGGCCGGTTTCAAAGGCCTAATTCCGATTAACCGAAACCTAGGGTAAACTACTCTAAGTGTTTCCGTCTTATTTTCTTTAATAGTTTCTTTAAGAGATTAGTTTCTACTTCTTAGCTATTTTTATAACTCGTCGTAACCTAACCATTTAATTAGATACTAGGGGGTGCCGCGTATAACGCGTTGTTAGACACAGCCTTTTCTGCGACCAGGACTGAGAACCGGGTAGGCAGGTGTGCCGACCCGCGAGGGCCACACAAGCAGGAAACACACAAGGCTGAGGCACGTGACGTGCTCAGCAACGCTCAGTGTAGATCAGTGTGCTCAGGCTGAGCACAGCTGATCACGACTGAGCACGACGGAGCAAGAGGGTACAG